ACAGAAAAACAAATAGTTTTAACTCATGAGAGCAGCAGCTCCTCCAAAGAATTTCAGATCCCCCATCACTCTTACCAGGATTAATGGAGTCAGACTCCAGGATATAAATGCAAGTAGCTGTATTGCATCCCACAGAGTTCAAAACGCAGCTTTCAGGTGAAATGAGCTGAATGTGGACAGCACTGCTCTAAATCAGTTTCTTCCCTGGAATGAGCACTTCAACCTTATTGACTAAAAATAATGCATCTCCTTGAGCCTATTTGCATGTTTTTATGAACATAAAGAGAAAAACTTGTTTGCAATGTTAAGCTGCCAATTAGAATCTCATTTGAGCAGGTTGACTTTTTCTCTCTTTTTTTTCCTTAAAGCTATAGAAGCTGAACGGATTTCTGAATTGAAAAGATTAGCCAGGATTGAATTCCAGAAGGAGCTTGCCCAGCAAACGGCATCCGATCTACGAGCAGCAGCAAAGGGTGCGAGACGGCCCCAGCCCCGCTCCCAACTTAAGCTCAGCCCCAATCCTTGAAGGCCTCTCTCCAGCAGCACCAGAGCCCCGGCCAGGCTAGGCCCCAGCTCACCTGGAGGCGCCGACATTCAGCAGCATCGCACAGACTTGGCCTTGACTTCTACCCTGCTCTGCATGGAGACGCTGGAACCTGCGACCTCGGCTTCTTAACGTTTTCCCACACAATACTCGACACACACAGTTGCTTGAAAGATTAAGGCAGGAGCTAGGAGCTTTAGCAAGAAATAAACGTTGCTCTCAGACCAGCTCCTTCCCAGGCGTTGTGTTTTTGTTATAACCGCTTGGCACACTTACCTTGCGGATGCTTCTCTTACAAGAATAAATCAATACATGGTAAAGGAACCAACCTGAGGTCCACACGGAAGGGCTGAAGTTAGAAGGGACCCATGGAGATCATCTGGACAATGTCACTTGTTCACAAAATTATCATAAAAAGATAAAAATCAAATACAATGTTACGTGCATCCAGATAAAGTGAGCAAATTGACTTACTTCAAGCATGATTTCCTTAATGCAAATCCCTTCCTACTCAAGTGATTTGTCTTTGGTCAAATACTTCTTTCACACTAGTGTAAGTGCAAAACATTTTTATTATTTCCTAGGAATTAATTAGAGCTGAGGAGCTACGTCAGTGCAGCTGCCATGGTGCTATGTTGAATGCTTTCCTTATACCTCTGTTTTTTAACGACACGAAACTACTGGCAGAAGCAGCAGCGTTTTCCTAGGCTTGTTGTCCTCTTCCTTACATCACAACTGTAATTAGCAGGATCTAAAGCACAGCCTGGACACGCTAGGAGAAGCCACAGCAGCAACATGTATTCAGCAACTTTCACCTCTTCTAACATCGTGGAAAAAGGCAGTGACAGAGACTCTTCCAGCTCTGTACCTGTCTCTCAACGTCTCATTTCCAGAACAGTTTCAAAGGGGAGAATTAAAAATATACAGGAAACCATGGGCTGCTCTAGCCATCCACGTGCACGCATGGGCCAGGACAGAGGTGGGAAGTGGAACGGGCCAGGAAAAAGAGACTGCAGCTTTGCAGCAGTTTCACCTGCACTGCTGAATGTGACACTGATTAAAAACCCTGAATTAAATGGATATGGCCTTACCCTGTGGTTTCGTTTATTGTAGCTGGACCTGCACTCTGCTCATACCACAACTGCTACAGTTGTACAGGACTCCTAACCCTTCACCACTCATAGCCAGAGCATTTTCAAACCCATGGCTGTTTGAGCAGGTATTACAGACCAGCTACACGAGCAATTTACTTCCTTGACAAGTATTAAAATAACAGTGGAGAAAGCAACCCCATCACAAAGTGCATGGGCAGGAGCTTTTCTGCTTTATCCTCCTGCTCCGAGAGGCTCCTGCCCGCTTGGTCAGCGCATCTAGGGTGGATGAGAATCCTGCTCTAAGCCAAACCAGTTCTGACCTCAGTGGTTTGGCACAAATGCCTCACAGAGCTGGAACTCCATTCAGGCTCTGTTACTGAAGCTTCAAGTTCAAGCTGTGTCAACATTTCAAGACAAAAGACTTGAAGAGCTTCAAGTTTCAACTGGTCTTTAGTGGGAAAAAAAAAAAGTGTCTTCTCTGACTTTACTCCTTGATTAGAGAGTGCATCCAACTCCTTAAGGAATTCCTAGGAAGCCAGTTACTACACTCTGCAGTTGTTATTACCCATCCGTCCCTTGCAATGCGCTGCTTAGCTGGAGGCAGAATCACAGCGACCATCACAGACTAATCACATATATTACAAAAGAAATGGGAAAGCAGAATGCCTAAACTCCAAACATATCTTCTGTGATTAAGTCTATAAACTAAGCTTTTTGTTTGTTTGCAAAATAGGCTCCTGGAAAAAGTAGCTGCAAGACCAAAGACTAATCTCAGTATTGTGGGATTCACTTATTATCAAAGGCAAAAGCAACGTTCTAGGAGTAGGAGGAAGCTGAAGGAGACAGGAGAATAGCGAGAAAGGCACGGGGAGGTATCTGAATCTCTTCTGCCTTGGGCACACACCTAGTGCAGGTATTTGGAAGGGCGTTATTTGTCAGAGATCCTTAGAAGCACAAACAGAAGTACCTGAGTCACAGTGAAGGGCAGTACAACGACTGTACCGTGTGAGAGTGACAGCAGCAGTACCAGGAGACGGAGACAGGAGGCCAGTCTGGCCATCACAGGCCCCTTTTAATTGCCCAGGCCAGGGCCTGGGCTTGTCTTCAGGCACTATATGGTAGACTTGTGCAGCTGTATGCAGTTTGTAGGTAGACTTAGAGCAGCAGCAAAGCTTGTTGCTTAGAACAGCAGCAAGTCCTTGCATCTTTACCCCTCTGGGTCTGTTCTGACTTGTCTAGCAGGGGATGCCACAGCCAACAAATCCAGACTTGCAGCTTGGTAACAACTCACCCTTCTTGAACGTTAGCTGAGCAGAGCCCACTCATCCAGCCTGTAATAAACGCGTTTGTTCACTAAGGCTATCGAAGGATTTTGTTAAAGTAACCACATCCGGTTAATGATCCACAAGATATTAACCATGAATAGGCTTTGCTTGCATAGGAACAAGTTTGGGAGACCAAGAGAGAGCCAACTATTTCGCATACAGTGGGCACTGAGGGCAATGGGAAACAGAGGGCACTGAGGAAGGCTTAGCTGCCTTCCTCCAAAACGACCATCAGAAGGCAGATAACGACCACCTAGAAACAGCCGGCGCAAGCACATTCCGACTGAGCAACATCAACAACMCACAGCGCAGACTCAACGGAACCTTCGGAAAAAACACCAAAGGCRGRACCTGGAYTCAATATAAATACCAAGACTTTGGGGACTTGGTTGGGGCCTGAGAATGATTACCTCCAGGCCGCCCCAGCGCTGTCACCCTTTGTATCCAGCTTACTTTAATAAAATGTAGATGAGAAATTGGCTCGCCTCATTTATGACAAGCCCAACTTGGTCCTGGGCTCTTGGGCTTCTGCCTTGCCCCAGGTATTAGAGACAAGACACCATTACGTCTATTAAGAATGGGTTTGCTTAGGTCATTGGCACTGAAAAGACACAATCCCAGACCACGTTAGCATACTCAAAGGGCCGAGCTGCTTGGGTTTCTAGCGGGGAAGTATTTCTGAACGTGGAGAACGTCAGAAGAACCTACAGACACGAGCACTTTACTGCCTCTAAGTCACCTTTTCCTCCAGCCTCCTAAGCTTTGGCTACACCACTGTCCTGCATCGGTCACCCCCTGCATCGCCACCCCGGCCCAGCTGCTCCATTGCTCTGCGCTTTGCAAGGCCCATTCAAGCTGGCTTAGGCACACGAGAGAAGTCCCTACAAATTCACTACAGTGCAGCTCTCCCCACAGAAAGACTTCCCCCATTTCCACTTTTTCCTTGCCCTCCTGGGTCTCACCTCATTACAGCGACAACTGTTGCCACTGCAGATTTAGGATCAAGGAAAGCATCCCTTAGCCAAAGCAAGCTTTTCGATCATTGCCAAGTATTTTTTTCCCCCTCCAAGTAGCCATTAAGCTAGGTTTAAAAGGAGGCAGGTCATACAGGAACGAGCTGCTTAGAAGCATTCAGGTAACAAGAGCGATTAACCTTCAAAACAGTCTCCAAGGAGCAACTGGTATGACTTCTTTGTAGGCTGCTGCTCTGCTCTTGCATGGGCAAAGAGCATCAATAAAAAACCCCACACAGTCTAGTGAAACTCATGGCACAGGGCTACAGCAAAGCATATATGCTCCTGCTGGCCAATTCTGACTGGAAGGAAAAAGGAGCCATTCTCTCCTTTTTAAGAGGTTTCCCAGCTGACCTCCTGTAGACAAGGGGTCAGAATGGGGGTCAATAGTATATCTAAACACTAGCAGAGCAAGTGTCTCATAATAAATATGTCTATTTATTCACTAAGAGCACGCTCACCTTGATGGCCTTGTAATTCAAGAAACTGAAAAGGTTGCTTTCAGAGTTTGCTTGTTTCTAACTTTTGGGGAGATAAGATTAGGTCAAGCTAGTTGACTCCAGCTTTTCTATGCCCATCATCAAAAGGAGAGAAGGTGCTATACAGCGCAGGACCTCTGGGCTAATTATCCTCTCAGATAAATACACCAGGTAAATTTGACCTTGAGCAAGCTGAAGAGCACCTATCCAACCAGGCCATACCATAGATGTTCATATTTGTTTGGATACAAAGCAAATGCTGGGGGAGCCTCATGCTGAGCTAAGCTCTGCACAGGCTGTTCTCTGCTGCAAAATGTTTGCACAACTCCAAGCTGGACTCTGCATTCTGCACTATGCCAAAATCAGGTCCTGGTTGGACAGTTTTGTTTGTCATGAAACTCTTAATGAAAGAATTTAACTGTCTTTATCTTAACATCTAAATTTTTTAAAAAAATTTCTAAAGAGTAGACAAATACAAATTCCTTGCATTCACTATTAATGTTAAAGAAATAGCAGTAAAGTATCAACAGACTCTGATTACTTACTTTGCCTGTTGACAACTGTCGCTCTGAACATCTGCTCTCTTCTCTTTCAAGCTCCTTCACGCAGAGGTGCCGTGACATGACTAGTGATTCTGCCTCTGCTTCTCTATCTATCCAGAATTCCTTTGCCTTCACCAAACTACACTGCTCTGAATATGGCATAACTTTTCAGCTGTGCTGGCACACTAGAGGGAATATCAAAACAGACTTGCTGTGATTTGTTGCTATAAAATATAAATAAGATAGTATTAATGTGACAAGTGAAAAAAGTTCTTTTCCTTTTATGAGTCAGGCTATTTCCACCTTGAACACTATGAAATGAGGATGACTGAGAGTATCAGTTTTGGGACAGTAGCAGACTGCAGGCTAATATTTTGAGGAACGTTTAATCTTGAGAATCAAAAGCCTCTGAACTTCTTTCTTCCATTGAAATGCAGAATGCTACAAAATCTCCACTTATGTGAGACTCCTGAGCGCACAAGTCAGAGCAAGGTGGGAGCTTCAGCTCTGGAAGGGACATGAAAGCCCTCCTGTCAGCTGGGCCAGGAGCACTGCTCAAACCCAGGAGCGGTCCTGGGCTGCTTCGTTACAATTAATGGTTCCTATACAGCATAACATGGAGATTTCCTTTCAGAACAAGTTAAACTGTTGCTAATATTAGCAAAACACTGAGACAGAATCTCATTATCTATCTCCTGCCTGAATCTGCTTAATTGACTGATTTAAGCAGAGGACATGACATGACTCACGTGTCATCTCGTGGCCACAGCATCTCAATACAAACACACCAGTGAAAAACACGATTCAGGCCCAATTCTGCCCCAAAATAGGGAGGGAATAGTAAATACCCTCCTCTTTCCATACCAGAGTAGAAGCTCTCCTGAAAGGAACTCAAAGTCCTGTAGCTTTTCTCCAATCAACACAGTAGCACAGAAGGACACACAAAATTCAAGATACCCAGGCCCTTGTGTAGCAAATCATCAGATGCACAGCCAGAGTAGTGAAGGATGCCTTGTGAGGCCAGAAAAATCAGTCACAAGGACACAAAAATACCCAGACCCTCCGAGCAATACATTTTAAGTGTATTTTTATTTACAGAGTAGAGATGCCTAATCAGTTATAAGTTTAGACACCTAATAATTCATCTTTTTTTTTCTGTAAAAGTATATAAATATATATATGAAACTCTACCAAGTAAACTGCAGTACTTACAGTAAACATTCACTATCTTTCTTATACTAATAGGCATCTTTTAAAATGTAAACACATCTTGTAAAATGCAAATACTGTTTTAAAAGATACCCTCTATAAAATATCTCTAACGGTACTGAAATGCTAAAAAAATTCTGTGCCATAAACAAGCTTTAAAAATATACTAATAAAAGGTTTTTGCAATAAAGTTTGCCAGGATAAAATACTGCTTTGTATCCTCGCGCCCAATCCCATAAGAAACGTACCCAAAGCAGTTGCAGGACTGCAGGAGACATTAGAAGATTTTTTTTTAATTTATTTTTTTTAATTAAAATATTTTTATTTCAGTACTTTATCACAGGTTAAGAAAGCTGCAAAAAATGCAACTTAATTAAATATTATTTACTGTTATACAAAGTCTCACATAGGAGTCCATTGGCTGAAGATAATAGTGGTACTGTATGAGTTAGACCTTTTGCATACACTCCATATATTCCATAGACTAGATACCTTCACTGGAACGATGGATAGACTGCATAGCAAAGACACGTGACAGCAATTGAAGATAAGGACTGGATAGTATTTGGCAGAACAATTGCAACATGCAGGAACCTCTCCACTGCCTCACTTCCTTATTTTAAAAGGAGTTCAGGATCAGGATTTTATTTGTCTCTCTGTTGTTCTTCAGCTTGGAGGTGATTCAGGACATACAGGACAACTTGATAGCAGAAAATGTACTGATCCTGCAAGGGAAAGGAAACCACAGGGCACCTTAAACCAAAGGTTACACTTACTAAGCGACTCACTCTCATCTCTTTTTCACAGGTGTACAGCACTTGGCTTCAATACTGTTTTGAAAGTTAAAACCAAATACACAATGCAAAAGTGTACAACTTCAGTTTCAAAAAACATAGGCCCTTGAGATATCCAAACCCAAGGTAGAGTTAACTAGATCTAGATCGTTCCTATTAAAAAAAAAATCACTTGTGCTAGAATACCCTCCTAAAGGAGGTATCTCTAACATTTCCTTTAGTTGACTCAAGTTCTAAATCCCTAGTAGAACAGATCAAGAGAGAACAGAACATAAAAAGTTGTGCATAGTTGTATTTGTTAAATACAGACCAACATGCACCAGTCTGCATTCGATGCCATTTTCACAACACTAGCTCCGCATTAGATGGCACCACGATAATCACGATGGGGTGTGCAGAAGTTTCCTGGCCCATCAGAAGTGTGCCTCCAGGTTCCTTCCTGCCCATGGGGAGCAGCCAGGCTCACCTCTGTCTGCACCATCCCGTGCCGCTGCAGACGCATGGTGCGCACCAGGTCCGAGATGTCAAACTGCCAAGACAGACAAGCAGCAAGTGAAACGCCCCGAAGAGACAGACACCAGGCACACACAGAACATGGGCCCAGCTTCGCACCAAAGAATCCAATCGAGTATATTCAACATGCAGGAGTGGAACAAATTAAAAGCTACTAAACCTTGTAAGTATTTGGCAGGTTACCAGCATGAGCCCCATGTTCCCCATGCCGAAAGCATGCAGCCCTCCTGCATTAAGACACTCTCCTTTCTCTTGCTTCTGTATTTCCCCCGGCTCTCCGGCTTACTTTTAAGAGTTGATCATGCAGAAAATTGGGGCCCTTGGCCCAGTCTCGCAAAATGCTTTTAATTTCCCCAGGAGTATGTCTAGAACTGAAGGAAGTGCTTAGAGGCCCTGCTGTGCTAAGAGTAGCATGAGAGTTAACTTGCTCTGAAAGTCCACAAAGGGTTTTGCCATGCCAGCTCCTTGAAGGTGACAGGCATAGGAAAGTAGCACCCTCTTGTGGATCACAGAAAATGCATCTTCGGTTGTGCCAGAAAATGTATTTTATTAGACCACTATTTCAGGCTCTAGCATTTGCACACCTTGAGTCTCTGACAATCTGCTTTAAACGCAGAAGTAACATTGTCACTGAGGCTGGGATCCAACTCTTTAAAATAAGTGAACACCTTCCCTGGAACACAGTTCACAGAAAGATGGTTGAGGTTGGAAGGGATCTTTAGAGATCATCTAGTCCAACCCCCCTGCTCCAGCAGGGACTCCCAGAGCACGGGGCACAGGGCGGCATCCAGGCGGGTTCTGAGGACCTCCAGAGAAGGAGACTCCACAACCTCCCTGGGCAGCCTGTGCCAGGGCTCTGTTCCCCTCACAGCAAAGAAGTTCCGCCTCACATTCCTCCCAGGTCAGTCAAGCCCAAAGCACGGCTTAGTCCCTCCCCTCGGGTACTCACCTCAAGATCCCTGCTGATGAGCCCCAGGACAACGTCTATACAGATGAGGGTCCCGGAGCGGCCGATGCCGGCGCTGCAGTGGGTTACGATGGGCCCCGCTCGGTGCACGCGCCGCATGTAGGAGATGAACGTGAGCAGGTCATCGGGCTGCGAAGGGGTGTCGTGGTCCGGCCAGGCGACGAAGTTGAGGTGCGAGATGTGCCGCACCTGCCCTGTCTGAGGTTTCAGAACACAATGACAAAGTAGCACACCCCAAGAAAGCAAGGGAACAGGTAAATTCCTGAAAGCATCAGTCGCAGGAAGGAGGATTTGTCCAGATCAGGTTATAGGCATTCTGAATTGCAATAAAATAATAGAAACAAGCAGCTATCCTGAAAGAAAGCTGCAGGTAATTAAACAGTATGAGAGACTCACTGTGCAGACTGCACTAACCACACCAAGTAATGAACCAGCCAGACTAAGTTATTAGAGATCTTTCTGTTTCTGTGGCCAAAGGTATCTAGGGAACCACATTTAACATCTTGTTAACATCATTAAAACATCTCCAGGACCAAAGGCCTTCTCCTGTACATGTCTCGGAGCAGCACAAGCTCTAACATGGAAGCCTGGCCTAACAGCACTCATCAAGAGGAGCACTCTTCAAGGAGAACTCCCCAAGTTACAGCTTAGCGTAGACATCGTGACTGAAAGCAGGCAAGGGAGAGTCGCGAAGCCAAAAACGTGAGCACTCAAATCCTGTGCGTGCACGAGAACTCGATTCACTTACTTGGATCTCCTCGAGCTCCAGCACTCTGACAACAAAGCCCTTCAGCTGCTGCAGCCTCACAAGCGCGAGCCGCAGTCTATCGTTTATCATGATGGTTTTATTGAGCACATCTGGCCAATAACGCTGGCACTTTATCTTTTCCCCTTCAACCTCCTGAGTCATCATGGCGATCACAGTGCAGTCTTGCTCCCAAACCATTTGCCAGAAGTCTGCCACAGTCGTCGGCAGGGGCCCTTGGCACGCAATGTAAACGAACTCTTCGGTCCCTACGGGCATGCGGATGAAGCTGGCATTGATGTATCCCCCATCAACCCCGAGAGGGACCCTGGTGGTATCATCTGCAATCCCAACACACACAGAATCAGCTGAGGCAGACACAGTTTGGATGCAGAAAGATTACTGACCACACTGGATATATCTGTTCTATCAAATTTACATGGGTAAAATGGAAGAAAGTTGTCTGGCTTCAGACATTCACATGTATCTCATCCTCTTTCAGGGAAGATGAGCTGAAATAACCAAAAAAAACCTTTAAATATCCATCTCTACTTACTACATTAGTCTTTTGCTCGCTGATCCTGAAATCTTTATGAACATTTAGAAAACAAGCAGCAGATATTTTGGGTTTTTTGTTTTTGTTTTTTGACCACACAGCAACAGAACTACAACTGAGAATCAGTGTGTTTCTTCAGATCCGATCCCTCGGCCCGTATGGATGGAGACAAAATAATGGCACTGAATGTCAGATTGGGACTTACATGGAAGTATGTTTTTGTATCTGTTCTTTCTCCTGTTCTCTTTTGCTTGCCCGATCAAACACTGATCCAAAGGTTTTAACTCTTGAAGATTCTGCAAACAAGCAATTACACATTCAGTAAAATGTACTGACCAAAAATCCATGTTAGGAGCAGTTATACAACCCCGTCTCAAACAGACATAAAAGGGGAAAAAACACTAATGTGTATATGCAAAATAGTTCACTCAGAGAACCAAATCTGACCTTCCCTAGCTACGAAAACCCAACACTTGGGGGAATGTTGGGAGCAGTGAGGGAGAGGGAACTGTTACCCAGTGAATACTTCAGTTCCTTCTTCCCAAAGAAGAGATGCCCAAACAGTTGGCTAGTTTAAAAAAAAAAAAAAAAAAAAAAAAAGCCCCCACACTGCTTTCAGTTTCTCCACTGCAGCAGCTGGGTTTTGTAGTGGCAGTTATTTAGTCTTCTCTATGTCTGCTTACTTCACATTCCTTCACTTATTTAAGGATTTTCCAGAAATAATCAAGTGTATCTCACTTCTGAATTGAGGTGCAACTCATCCTAATCTTCTCTCTCAGCTGCTGGCAGGGGAAGGGAGACACATAAGTTTTTTCCACTCCTTTGAAGAGCTGCAGTGTTTTAGGCAGTGATGAATCAACCATTCAGCTCTAACCATTTCGTACAGCTAAAAAGCAAATTTTTAGAAAAAGGGCTTAAAAGGACAGACTGTTACTTACTTCAATCTCTTTGGAAGGGACACCCTGTTCCAGCAATCCCCGCAGCATCCTGATGACAGACTTTAACCTGGCTCCTGTGTACTTGCCTCCAGGAAGCACTTTCACAGTAGGGAGTGCAGAGATCTCTTCATTTGTCACTAAAAGGCAATCTGAAAGAAGAGCAAGACGATTCTCATGTTCCCATAAATAGCTAAGCCACAGAAACGTCACGAACAGCCCAGTGTTACTATTTCCTTGTCATGCTGTATACAGTTTTCTTGTCAGGTATGCCCAACTCATATACCATTATCACACTTTCTATAAGAAGCCATGCCTAATAAAGCACCCTTGAGGGAAATGATATTTTTGCCACTTTTTACGGCCTCCTACCTCTAGAATCCATATATACATCCTGGGCACTACACAGATGACCCATTTGTTCAACATGCAAAAATAAACAAAGCAAAAGCAGCAAAATTGCTGTGGTCAAACACCACAAAACATCTCGTGTTGTTAGAGCTGCTGTCAAGTTTATAATATGGAAGAATAGATAACACAGAGAACAATCTCACGGCTGGCTTCAATTCCAACTACACGTCCAACACTGCTCCTATGAACTGTCATAATCAGAATTAAACCCTCAAAGCGTATCCAAGACATTTGTAAACACACTTCTGACATTCTGTGTATTTAATGTACTCCTTAATTTTGCACGGATTATTTAATGAAGCTCTTGCCTTTATGTACACGGTCTGGGTTTATGGATTCAATTGGCAGTTCATCACTTCCCCACGTGATTTCATCTTCATCTGCTTGGCTCAAAGAAGGTTGTGGAGGTGACCTAAAAATGACAAGAAATGGAAGTAAAAAAGAATACCTGGAGATGTCCAACACATTTGGAATCCAAAGCACTGCCAGAAAGTAAGTTATAATTGGCAGCATTCTGGACTGGATGCATACAGGTCATCTTGAGAATAATGGAGTTTGGAAAAAGATAAGAGCAGGAAAACAGTTGAGAAGATATATAATTTCTCTTCGTAGTATTTTTTCCACTGTAATTATATTTCCAAGGCAAAGCAGTCAAACTACACTCAGAAACACAACTGCACCCTTCCCAAATTCATACCTATGCATTAGAAGATCCACTTTCAATAGCAGATTTTCTAGGATTGTTGAATGTGATGGTGAACATATCAGGTATTTATATGTTATAACGCCATTTTTCATGCCAAGATTTTAACTAAGTTTCCCCAGAAGTTAATGAAAAGGAGTAAAAAGTATATGCATCTTGGCTGAAGCATTACTTAAGACTGAGAATTAGAACTACCTAGCACAGAGACAAGAATTTTCAAGGGAATTTCCAAGACTGAAACAGATGGCTCAAAGGGACAGACAATCACTTGGCCAGGTTTATCCTTATTTTTCCATACAAAAAGCCTCTAAAGACTCAAGTAGGAACAGATGGATTGGTAGATAATGGGGGCACTGTGCACAACAAGGTAGACTGGTAGGTAATTGGTAGATATTGGTAGATAATGGGGGCAGTGTGCACAATCAGGAGAAAACACATGAAGGTAGCTTGTTAAGATGAAAACTGAAGACCATATTCATGGGAACTGGTTTTTTTTTTTTCTCAAATTAAAGCTCCAGTTAACATTGTACTAATTATTTAAATTCTCTGTGGTAAATCATACAATAACTAACACTCAGGCAAATTGCAACCTCTTGCAATCTCTAACCAGAGCGGACAGAAAGCAATCTGGAAAGACACTGCCCAAGTATTTTATATTTGTTTGTATTATGATATAACCCTCTTCAGAGCTTTGACATTGTATGTGTTTGCTTTTAACCAGCACCAGAAAGAAAGTCTTACCTCTCTGGGGTAGCTTGTGCTTGACAATGTTCTTCACAACCATTTATATGCGTTGGCTAGGGAAAGAAATAATTCAAACTACAGTAAGATCAATATAACATGCATCCATAGTAATTTTTAACCTATGTGAACAAATAGAGAATGGAGCAATTCTCAAAGGGACCTAGTTTAAAGACATTGCTCTTCTGGCCACCTCCCTACCCTTAAACTAAGAGAGGGTGGAATACGGAGTATTGCAGAGAGGCCCTCCTGAAAATGAGGACAAAAGCCTCATGGCAGCAGTAGAACCACCTAAAATGTATCCAACTCATAAGTACTTAAATCTTTTAGTGAGGACAACTCAACGGTGAACATAAATGCCCCATATGTGCTTCCTATCAGGACACCCACTCCGATGCAGAACAGAACAGGGCTTTATGTGTAAATGGTAGTTAGTCATACATCTGCATTCCTCAATAGAAGACTCAGCAGAAAACAAGATCCTTCAATTTTTTTTTTGAGAAGGACAAAGGCTCAAAGTGATTTATATTTATCAGGCTACCTTGGAATATCTTCTATCAGTGTCTTCAAAGAGGTTTACTTTGGGATCAGCTTGAGACTGCCGACACCAAGACATATTTCTGATGTGACACTCAGCTCTATTACTGGAAAGAAAGCTGCAACAGCCAGGATGGGCTGCATGGACCGATGTCTGCTAATCTAAATTATGAGATTCAAAACACTTAGACATCTACTAAGTCAGCTCAGAGAGAAGAATTCTCACGTTGACATTCTGGACAGATAAATCTACACGTTATTCATCATGATGTGTTCCTTCATTTGAGTGAGCATCAAGCCAATCTGCTCCCCTCAAAAAAAAAAAAAAAAAAAAAAAAACACTTCTTGCCTTATACATTAGAAACAGCTTGTACTAAGTCTCTGCTTAGTTCTTGCACAGTTAATTTGTCACCAAATAATTAGACACTACCTCAAAAATAAACTTATGTATGGTGTTCACAGCTACCACTGACAAAGACAGTTTCCATCAACAACGCACATAAGATTATTTCAACAAGTTCTTTGCAAATAAAGAAAATTCTAATTAGAAAGGAAGTGTCCAAGAAAGGGTAATCAGCAGCCAAAGGCCTATCGGCTTTGTGCCATCTCACCTCTGAAAAGTCTTCAGGTAAAGATGATCCATCACAGTCTGTATCTTCCGATTTGTCCTCCGTCAGCTTCCCATTCACCTCTAACAGAGAAACAAACCCAGAAGATACAGAACAATATTGTTAGGGGACAGTTTCTAAAGGACAAAAAAAGGAAGGCTTCTTTCTGCTTCCTTTCCATTCAGAAAGGGTGCAACTTTCCACCTCTCACATAACCACAAAAATAGAAAGTGCAGAGGGCCTCAGTGGCACCTTCACTCCTAACAATGCAATACGAACAGAAGAAGGTGCTGAGAGCTTTGACGCTTACGGAAGAGAGACGGTGCAGCCTGGCACAGGGCTTGGTTTTGGGGAAATCTCCACGCATTTCCAAGGTCTGCAGTTTGCAGTCAGAGAAACTTAGAGGTCTGACTGCATGTGCAAAACCAGCATCTAAACACTCATGTCGCTCACAAAAGTATTATGCAACAGGATGCATTTTTCCCAGATTACTGGGAGCAAAATTCAGATTTACCAAACAAATTTCCGAACTGCATCTACACTTCAATGGATGGAGTAAACATTTATCTGAGTTCTCATTGGGAAAACCCTCACCTTACTACGTTCAATGCTTACTCAGCATTTTTTTTCAAGAGGTGTTTTGGTGCTATTGATCTCTTTTTCCATGTCTCTCAGTACCTGGCAGATGATCATCTGACGCAGCCTTCTTGAGATGTAGCAAGGTCTGGGCCTCCAACGTGGCATTATTGCGATTTAAAAGGTTCTGGGCTTCCTCATCGACAACGTCCAACAGATACTGAACGACTTCATTGTGGTCATCTTCATCATAATACTCATCATCTGGAATCTCTGTTTCTAAAAGGAAATGGCATAAAACTGCAAGTTTTATACGCAAGTTTTATACTTCCTTTTAAGGCATAAATTCCATCTGTCACCATCTTCTTCCTCCTTCACTTCACTCCTATAAAGGATCTCATTTCTGGCATCTACTTCCAACATCAAATTATCCTTCTCCAGCAGAAGTACAGCACCTGGAGATGAGGTGCTAAAACTGATTGCCAGCCTAACCTCAACTCCGCTGAACCTGTTCAGCAGTGCTACTGCCTTCTTCCTCTTGTACTGTGAAGTAAAAACCAAATAATGCTGCCCCAAGCTCATCTCTTCTTACCTGACTTGTCACTGTGCTTAGGCAAATCTGCTATCTGATTGGTAAAGTCAAGGGAAGGGACATCTTTGTACCCTGTGAGATTCATTAATCCTTTTGTTTGATGGGTATGATTTTCCGTGTTTGTGTGAGGCACTTCAGGGATGCCATTGCCGTTTACCTAGTGGAGCAAAGCACAGCAAAATATAACTTTTTAGGAGTTTGCCACTCTATTTTAGCAGCAAGCAACCCTTATTAAACAGAGGACTCAGCAAAAAATAGAGTGAAATTGCACACCACAGAATAGCACCTACCTTGGGCCCATAAGCATCAGCTGTCGTTTCTGCTTTACTGCAGTGATCACCAGGGGAGCAGCCTAGGCAAAAGCAGAGGGTGGTGGAAAGGTGGTGAGGGAAGCAGGAGGGAAGAAAAACACACTCAACAGAGATATTTTCACAGTAATTAAATTATCCCCATCGGTTACTTTTATTAAAGAAACAAGATGTTTAGATTGTGCAGTGAGTTGCATTTTGGCCTGTTTGTCAGGCACTGCCACAGTAGTGGCTGAGTGACTGCATACTAATAGTTGGATATTAGAGAAAAATTTTGAATAGCAAGGAACGGGGAATCACAAAATGACTATAGAATGACCACAGAATGTCTTTTAATCGAGTTTTTAGAGGAAAGCTCCAGCCAGTATCTGCTGAAGCTGATTTTGGTGTGCAGAGTTGCAGCACAGCAACCAGACTAGATTGAAATCCCAAGGCCCCTATCAGTTCCTCCAATCTTAACTAACATACACAAATGTCACTTGCAGTAGGCGAGCAAGCAATCCTTACCGTTAGCTTTCAGTGACCACGAATTGCAGCCATCAGGGCTTTTGGATTTTGGAAGCACTGGGTGACCATCTCTACGAAAAGAAATGTTTACAGACAATTTTATATTAAAAATATAAATAAATAAAACCATGCTAGGCAGACATATCCACATCAGTGTCTGACAGCAAGACCCCTAAGCCTTCATGCTAGACTCAAAGATTTAATCTCACAGTCTTAGGCTAGAGCTCAAAATCTAGAACTCTGTGAAATTCCAATTTAAAGATGGAGTCCCCTCCTTGTCTGAAAACCGAGCACACAGCTAGAGCACTATGACTATTTTTTTCTTTAATCAGAAACAGTTTTACTGAACAGTCTTTGCAATTACACTGTGTGCAGTGAAACAGTTATGTGGTAGGGAAATAAAAAAGAAAAAAAAAGGAACTAGCAAAAGGAAAGCCTTTTTTCTTTTTCAGGAAAAGAAAAGCCAGGAAAGAGTGTTTTAAAGAAAAGGATAATTTGACCAGTTGAATTTGAAATGCGTAAGCTCCACAAACCAGGGAGGTGACAAGTACAAAACCTGAGAATCTATGGTCTTTACCGGGTCAGCCCTGAAGAATATGCCACTTATTACCACTCTGGTCAATCAGCTGTCATGCCAGGAACATGTTTTATCCATATATTAATGCAATCATGTGAGGAAAACCAAGTCACAGGCAAGCATTTTCTGTCAAAATATACCTGGTCACTTTGAGCACCACTTTAGGAAAGGAGGTTTCCAACATCCTTTTGGCTTCTTTCAGAGTCATCCCCTGCGTGCTTACTCCATTAATGTAATGGATAATATCTAATGCATGGAGACTCTCATCTCTGGCAGCAGCTGATTTGGGGAGGATGTCACTGATATACACAACTTGGTAAAGGCTGTCATGCCCGCCTGATAAAGACAGACCTGTGCAGGAAGAAAAACAAGAGAAAAGCGTGTTCCTTCTTTGTAACTAACTTGTTTTTTTGTTTCTTTCAAAATCAGACCAAGAAAATCATTCTTCATTAGATCCAGAAGTAAGATAACTTGGTCTTACCCAGCTCTTCCTTATGGCATGTCAGCGTAATATCAGGCAGTAAGTGAGGCAACACTGGCATCTTGGGCAGCTCCAAAACACGTCCCAGCACCAGCCTGACAGTCTTCGGGGCGGCTCGCAGAAAATTCACTGCATCTGTGTGACTCATGTTAGTGACATCCATGTCATTAACCTGTCAAGATGAAAACACCAGAAACTTCCCGGTTATGCTCCAAGTAGCAGAGTTACTGTTAGTGAGGAAACAGAGTTGCTATCACTCCTACTGATGCCATTTCACATTAAAGGACAAAATAACAGATTTTCCATATGACAACAGTTGCAGCTCACTGTGGTTATCCAGAGAGAGAGAACACACACAGGTAACTCAAGTGTCACAAGTAAGGAAAGCAGTTCATAGTCCCGATGTTAAGCATATTCAAAAGGTATGTAATTTGTTCCTCTTAACAACAACAACAAAGATGTTATCCCTTTTTAAGCTCAGATCTGAAAGCCTGACTCAGAACCTAATCCACATTAGTAGGTATTTATCCAAGTTGAAGAAAAAAGTCTTCAAGATTTCAAGAAAAAGGTTTTCGAAGCCCTAATTTAGCCCTCATGACTGAAACTCATGTCCTGTGTTATACTCATCATGAGGACTACTCGGAGTGACCAGAAGCCCTTCTTGTAAGTTTGCACTGCATCAGAAACTAATACTGTAATTAAGAACACCTCAATTACATGATATCACTACCTAACTGCTTAACCTGACAGTGGGATTTTTTAAAATTTTTACTTCCTAACAGTATGTTAGCCAAGAAGATTATTTTAAATCTCCCAAGTTGTCCTTTTGATGCTGTTCCTGTTTGTGGAAATGCTACTTCTCTCACTTTTATGAGGCGGTCTCCAGGTCGCAGTCTCCCATCACTTTTGGCAGGATCCTGAACGATATCGTGAATGTAGCAGCCAATGTTATCATTTCCTTTGGTCACTGTGAAGCCCAGACTGCCCTTTTCTGACTTGGTCATGGTAACTTGGAGCTCTACTTCCTAGGGGAAGAAAAGAACGCTTTACAATGTAGACAAATAGAAACAATCTGAGCACGTCAAGGAAATGAAGACTGCTAGAATGATCTTCAAACAACAAAAGAGAATCTTGGTGAGGATAAAGTAGAGATGAGGACCTAAGCTGAACCTGAGAAAGTTGTCAAGGTGCTGATGTATTTAATGCCAAATTCCAGATGGAAACGGGACACACAAAACAGATGTGTGAGCATGGGCATACAGACACAGGGATGCACGCGCACGCAGAGGAACTCGTTATGTAACTGATTCCAACACGCTCCAATTCTGCACGTACAATTAAGCCAAATTTAGCCTTCACAGACTGGGAGTTCATATTTTAGTGGAACAGTGATGCTACATAAACCCCTCAAGGTCAGACCGAAAACATCTGCAAACACTTGTGCGAGCAGTTACAATCCAGTGATTACAGCTGGCACACTGTGAAGTAAGTGACCGCTGCTGGCAAGACCTGTGTCCCACCCCCATGCAGTGCAGATATAACCTTCAGCTATGCCATCTATAAATCAATATGCGTGGCTTCTGTGGAGTTGCTCCCAATCACATCCATCAGCCACAGCAATAAGTACATTCACATTGCTGCCAGATAGGAATAGGAACTTACTGGCTCATATTCTTCAGTACTTTTTTCCAACTGACTCAATAATGTCATTCCTCCCAGGTGTGGAGTCAGCTCAGGAGCAGGACTCGCATGTGAGTCGTTTATTAAAATTGACGTGGTCACATCAGGAACAGTTCTACAGGTTGGGATCGGCGGCAAATCCAGTGGCAGACTGCTACAAGAAGAGAAAAAAAAAAACAAGGAAAAATCACTGCAATGTTTTTAGTATTATTGGGTAGTCTTACAATACAACTGTTACTAATAAAAGACTGTTTGAATAATTATTGACTTGAATGTAGAAATAAATAAATAAATAAATAAGAAGCCTTTGAACTTCCATGAGTTGGCCCAATAAAATGTTTTTAGTCCACACCTTCCGCAACATCTCAAGGATCCCTCTGAGCAGCCTACCTGTCCTCAGACTCCGACTTGCTCGAGGGCTCATGAGCAGCATAGAGGATGGTGCGAAAAGCCTCTTGGCGCCCGCTGTGCGTCTCGGATGGCCCGTGGCCTTCATCAGAGCTCTGGTAGAGTGTTGAACTCCAGTCAGGGCCCACGGGCGCGGGGGAATCCACCACCTCCTCTTCACCGCTCCCACTGCTGTCACTGTAGCTGTCTCTCCTAGAAGGAGATTTGAGCCTTTTGCTGCTCGGATCAGTAGTTTCATTCTCATCTGAGCTGTCGCCTTGTTCTCCATTTGATAGACTGGTAACTTCTTTGCTGACGTCTGGAAATACTTGTTGGGGTGAATGGATGGGCGTCTACAGAGAACAAGGACATTTAGTGCACCAAACTGCAGTTTTCACAGTAGGAAAAAATTGCAAAGACTGCATCAACTTCCTAAACCCAGTTAAATCAATGGCTTCTTCCGTTTCAATGTTGTCTTCATTATGTGAATGCATCACAGCAGTTTCACTGAGCTCAGGACACATTTGCCATAACAAGTATACAGAACTTACAAGCATATGCTGCTAAGCAACCGCAAAATCATGGAAGGAAAACTAATATATGCTTGGCTTAAGTCTTGGGAAGCCAGTTGGCAGATGTCCTGACATTTGCCCAGTAGCCATCTCAGCAATCACCCTCAAATTCCTCACAACCAAAATACCCTGAGGATGATTGTTGTCGAGTCCAAGTCATAATAAACACATGTCATAATAAAGTCAAGTAGGCAACATCTTAAGTCAAAATAATAGACAACAAAAACTATCCTAATCTACCCAGATTGGGGACTGTTCAGCCAAATGGTTATGTTCAGTTAAAACTCATAAACAAGTTTGTCAATAATCCCATAAACCCCTTAAAAATATGCCAATTAAAAACCCACGAAGTTCTAGGGCATCATTAATGCCTCAATTTGTCAAATTCTCATGCTTGTGCATTCACCCATCACCGTGATGCGTGAACAAAGCTGTTGTTTGCCTATTATTTCTTACTATATCTATTATTACATTAAAATCACTCTGGACTACAAACGGTTCATTACAGAATTATTTTTTTGCACCAGTGCTTTATTCATGTGCATGTCTCTTTTTCTTGCCATATTTTTAAGTTTGTAAATTTAAGTTTCTGTGACGATACTTCAACTGTTTTTACTTTTCAAATAAATGAATCAAAATAGCTTCACAAATTACAGACTATTTTCCATATTATACTTTCTTTCTTTTATTATCCATCTTACAGATGTGAACTCCTCTCTAATTCTATCCCAATTCTCTTTTGCTGAAATAGAAACAGACACACAGAGACGCACAAATACATATATATAAATGGCCATGGTTTAAAACACACTAAAATTGTTTTAAGTACAACTCTTTACATGTGTTAGATTAGAAAAATCTGATTTCTTTTCTTCCTTTTCACATCTCTATTAATTCTGTTGGACACTCTTGAGGAATTTACCACAGGAATCACCTACAAGCCCCTCTTCCACCCCATCTTTCCAGTCCAAGTTGCATTTCGTTAACTAACCCACCAATACCAATTAAAAAAATATATACCCATGCCCAAGACTCACCAACAAAGAAGGATCAATGTCTGGTAGAATCCCAGGTGGCGGCCGACAAAGGAGAAGAGAAACTTCTGGAGATGTTCCTCTCAGAGCAGAGATGACCTCCTATGGACACAGTTAGATTCAGTATTAGAGACAGACCGCAGAACTTGGAGGATTTGTACGGCAAGAGTTCCACTCCCCAGATCAACAGCAGAGAGCACCAACCTGCTGGGATAAACCCTTCAGTGATGCCCCGTTCACTTTCAGAATGACATCCCCGATTTCTATCTGCCCGCTTTCCGCCGCAGGCTGTCCAGGGAAGAGCTTTTTCACCCTCACAATAGTCGAGCCCAGTTGCTCAGGGGTGAGGTTGTCTTCACGGCAGAAACTGAAGCCGAGGCCCGAGCTGTTCTTCAGCAACTTGACCTCAAAGGTGTTCTCTGCAAAAGGAAGAGGAACAGATCATTTCCTACAGCACAGTGGCTGTCACGCTTTTTATCTGTTCTCATCGAGACACAGGAGCAGCAGGATGTGGAAGTCCCTCAAGCTCCTTTTGGCGTCTGTCTTGAACAGCAACAGAGCTGGCAGCACCTCTTACCGCAGCCTTGTTACAACCCTGTCCTGCAAGAAAGGGGAAGCATCCTCTGCAGAAGCTTTTCCTGAGGAAACTGGGAAGCATCAAACAGCAGCAAAAAAGGAAACAGTTAAGAGTCATGGAGTTACTGAAATCTCAAAAGAAAGCCTCAAAGCAATGCAACAGCACAAGGACAGAGACTGCAGTACGTGCACCAGTTTGGAATAAATTTCCAGCTGCTGTCTCCTGGTTTTCTGTCTATTCTACAGAAGATATCCAACAGAAGAGTTACCAAGTCTAGAAGGTGCTTTTAAAGGACCAGACAGTTCTCCTACACCAGCTGACCTGCAGTGACAAAGCTGTAGTCCTTGGCATTTGCAGTTTTTGGTGCTGGCTTCTCGTGGGGCTCGCCCTGCGCCAGCTCGTGGGGCGGCGTGCACTGCGGTGTCACTGGAGCGTGGCCCCTGGCTCCCGAGAGCTGCCCCTTTTCCAACAGCAGATGCACCACCTAAAGAAAGGAAGCATTCTCCTGTTAACTTGCACTGCTTGTGGAAATGGTACCAACTAGGGTACACACTTGGTTCTAACCTGCCAGGGTCCTAAACTGCGTAGTATACTATTAACTTCCCAGATACCTCCCTCCCTCACATTTCCTTATATTGTTCAGCATTTTAATGGCCGTGAGAAGTTCCGCCACACAGAGACTGACTTGTGAGGTATTTGCCAACAGCAAGTGAGAAAAGGTTTACTTCAAATAAGGCCATGAGGGGTTAAGAGTCCAAGACATTGAGCTGCTCACCTGCCCAGTGTTCCTCAGCGTCTCCACTGCTTGCTTATGGGTAGCGCCTTCCAAGCTAATCCCATTGACCGAGAGCACGCGGTCACCTAGAAGGAAATGACAAATAACTGAGCACAAATTAAGCGGAACACGCTCTAGAAAACATTCATGGCACACAAACCCCTTCACAGTTACTGAAGGAAATTCTCCCACCACCCCATACTCTGAGGAAAGAGCAGAACTTCCGATCTGAAGTGCTTCGAGACAATTCCACGTGAAAGCTGGTGATCCCTATCAGAGCAATGCTTTGATAATTGACACAGAATCTTTAATAAAAACAAGTCCTAGCCCATACTGGGAATCTACATGTCAGTAAGAAACGGGGGCTGCCTTCCAAACAAGCAAAGCCGTAGCAATTGTCCCCATTTTCTGCATCAAGTTACCCAGCAGGCCACTGCTAATACAAAGCCCTTCTCTCTTCACAGCTGACACTGATCAGCACTCTCCACTAACACAGGCTGTACTAAAAAAAATCAATTCCTGCAATGTACTTAGTATTTTTTTCTCCAAAATTGGAGCCATTTTGTGTTGGCTTTACAGTTGCTTCCTATTTTGGGTTAATATTCTTCCCTTCGTGAGCTGTGGAATTGGCTATCAAGTCTCCAGCACTGAGCATTTCTTGGCCATTCATGTGCTCCGTGGCCCTGTGAACCGCTCGTTATTGTCACATTCCACTTTGGGGAGACAATATTTCAAGTGACACATGCAAACGCAGTGACACATGACTAAGTGAGCGGGACCAAAGCGAGTTTTGAGCTTCTAGGCCACAGCGGATCCCTCCTAGCTCCCTACAGAGGCAGCCAAATTCACTCCTCTGCTTTCCACATTGAGAACAGCCCACGCCAAGAGAAGTAAAATAGCACCTTTTTCTATCCTGCCGTCCGCTTCAGCTGCTCCCTTGGGAATGATGGCTTTCACGTAGATGCCTCCGTGCCGTATGCTCGTATTTACGCCGCCCTAGATGGAGAGCAGAAAAACGACATGTCAGCCCTTCGGCAGCTCGAGGGCTAGCACTTCAACGCAGTGGCACACGAGGAAAGCTACACTCAGGAAGCATTCTGGTTATTGGCTCGTACGGGGCAACGGCCAAACTGTGCGAAACTGAATGTTACACAACAAAGGTGAGGCGGGAAGGCTGCAGGAACACACTGCACCGCAACGCGGCCGTCCGCCGGACAAATCAGTGTCCTTGGGGCACAGAAACGCGTTGGCACTGCTGCAATCTACATGCTTGCATGCACGTGGAAGCTGGGGGACGTGCGTGGGCAGGGCATGCAGCAAGAGGCACGGCAGAAGGCGCATACCCATGCGGCGGCCTGCTCCAGCTTGCCCTCCCGGATGCAACACCAAAATCAGGAGGGCTGATTTCTTTCAGACCTCAGTGGGAAGGTCTGAGCTGCAAAACTGCTCGAGCTCAAACAGCACTGCTGTTGGAGGCTCTTAGCTTTTCTTAGCTCTCAGACAGCTACCACTGCACTACTGCTGCTTCCCCATAAACGTGGGTGGGCAGAGGAGCCCATGAGCACGCGAACCCGCGCTGCCGGAGCGCACTGTGTTACATTGGAAACCCTGAAACACAGAGCTCTTCTGCCCTGCACGGGATGGCCATGCAAGGGCAGAGGCTGCAAAAGGAAAGCACAAGGAAAACACCACTTGGTCATCTCTTGTGGGAAGTCTTGGCAGCCACTGGTACTTCTACAAAGCCAGTGTACGGGTGCAGGAGGCCTGCTGCTATTCAGCAGCCAGCACCTCCTGCAACATTAAGCCTCCAGCCATCAGCACCTTTGAGCTCTGCTCCAAAATATTATCAGTATTTTTAAAATTCTTCTGGAGTACACTTGTCTTATTTACAGTAAGTAACAGGGCAATGACCCAGTCTCTGGATCCCAGATTTCTGTCAGGTAGTCTATATTTTCTTAGCAAATATTGCAAACATTTTGCCTTCTTCCTCTGTCATACAGAAAACATTTTGTCTCATGGGACAAAGCAAAAAGACTTTGGATAGACTGGGGTGCTAAAAGAAGAGAGTTGCATTTTGCTCCTCACACCTGAGAAGACACAAGCCACTTGTGCTGTGTGGCCACACCTGGGAAAAGGGCTGATGTTTTAGGTATAAGCCACAAAACCCACCAGCTTGGAACCACAGTTACTAACTGCTCCTTGTTGTTGCAATTGTGATTTTTTGGCCAAGTTGTTGGATATTTTTTGTTCTCTGTTTTTTAACCAGCAGAGGGAGAACCCAGAACACGGCATTTGCAGCACGGCCCAGGTACCCTCAGGTGACTCTTGGCCCAGGACAGCCTCTGACATCTACCAGACTCATTTCTCTGTGCTCCTCCCTTGAAAATTTGCCACTTCTTGTTATTTGGAAACAAGGGACAAGGACTGTCCTTTCTATCTGCACTTGCAAAGTGGCTTCTGTGGGCCTCCACAGCAAACCAACAAGCCAAAAGGCTTTCTTAGTAGGGAGACAACAACAACAAGAAAAGGGATTTCCATTAACATTAATCAAATTTTGTAGGAATGATTATTCAACAGTAAAATGACACATTGAACAGTGGCTCTATAAAACACTTTGCTTCCTGGTAGCTTAGCTATTTAACAGGTTGCTGGGAGTAGAGAAAAAGAGAAAACATCTCAAAACCTTGTCAAACAGTACCGTGACACTTATTCCCAAGCCGTTATCTTTTTTGGCTAGTTCAACCTCAAAGATATCTCCAGGTTTAAGAAGTGTCGCAATAACCTTTTTAGAGTTCGTTTTCTTCACTGTATTTCCTGGAGAAGATTCCTTTACAGAACAAAAAAAAAAGAAGCAACACAACAAAAAAGGATTTTCTGTTAGAAGCTTATAGGTAAGACCCTAAAGGATGTGCTCAAGCTACTAGGCTAATCCCAGAAGACATGAAAAGGTAAAGAAATTTATTCATAGAGATGGTAATTGGACTATGACCACGTTGGATGAGCACTCCAGGTTGAATGCATATTTTCTGCAGAATCAACATGAGGTTGTTAAACTGGAAGCATCTTATTCAGGACACTCATGAGGCCGTTTTAAGTTTTTTGGAAGCCACAGACATGATTTTTTTCCTTTTACTTTTAGACAAAAGCATCAATTTATGAGGAAAAGAAACAGTGCATGGCTTGATTCTGGTAAGCAGATAATTGCCATTTCAGTTCTTGTGCAACTCAAGGCTGTAACTTTTCCTCGCGTCAAGGACTTGAAGTCCTAGCTTTGGGAAACACGTGCTCAGCAGCAACACTCAGAGGATCTGTGACCAGGAGCAAGCTGGTGACTCAGGTGACCTTCCCTCCCTCCCTTCCAGCCCCTTCTCCTTACTCGCACAGCCGGCCAGCTCATTTCACTCTCCTGTACCACTGACGGGAAACGTTCATAGGAAATACACTCTGCCTTTTTAGCTGCCTGTTGCTCCTGACTGCTGGAATACGTTGCCTCATCCATGTCAGAATCCCCCCGGTCGGAATATTCCACAGACTCCAGCATCCCAGGCCCTCTGGTTTTCCCTCGGGTGCTGTCGGATGAGGGTCTCCTCTTCTCGTTGCCTTTAGCGAGCGCGGCCAGGGCGTCACCGAAATGTTGGGCGTCCTGGTGGCCTCTGCTGCTCGCACGCTTGCCGAGGCCGCCAGCCGCCTGGCTCTGGGACAGGCTGGCGCTCTCAGTCCTCGAGTCCTGGGAGCTCAGGCTTCCGTCCCGCTTGCCCGACAGGCCGGATGAGCTCCCGGAGAGGGGTCTCTGGTGGCCCCGTGCGCGGCCGGGCTCTTCTGAGGAGGACTCGGCCTCGTTGTCCTGAACCGACGCCGGCCGCCTTAAGTAACCTCTGGTTGCACTGGGGAGCTGTGCAGGGTTAGACGATGCTGAGGAGCAGGAGACAAGAGAGTCAACAGTAAGTGCAAACAGCTGCTGTAGGGCAGATTCCTCAGCTCCTCAAACAACCACACAAGGATTATCAGTTCCTAACAGGCAGAGTACTTGCCAAACAAGGTGCAGCCAGCGTGTCCTCACTCAAGCTGACTTTAACAAGCTGAGCACATTCCCAGAACCCCATTTCAAGCAGATATAACCTGGCAGTGCTCATAGAGGTGACTCAAGTTAAGCGTGGCGTTCTCAAGCTAATGCAATTGCTTAGATAAATGCTTCCCAGGACAAGTGCTGTACAGAAGGTGTTAGAGAAGGCAGAGCCTTCTGGGACAGGAAGGAATCTGGGACAGAAAGGAGTATCTCCCTCCATACCTTTGGGAAGCTTGTCCTTGGGCTGAGAGATCACAAGCGTCACATCTTCAGGCGCGTTCTCTAGTATTTCTAGTGCTGTGTGGTGGCTGACGCCCTCCAAACTCGTGCTATTCACAGATATGAGTCGGTGGCCTGCGCAAAAAGGTTTGCTCAAAACCCAACAAGACAGCACCTACATCTGCAGCCTTCCAGGAGGATGCCAAAGTACAAGTCTGAAAACCTCTACACACAAGGTACAGATGAAATAATACTGCTGCCAGAAAAAAGGAACCCTAATTAATTTAAAAAAAACTCTATAAATATTTCTTCTTCTTAAACTCAACAAACTGTTTCCATATTACAATTTTTTGTGTGTTTTTTATCACTCACTTTTACCTTCTAATGAAAATAATATTCAAAAGTAAAAAACAAAAGTGAAATAAACTAAGCACCCATCCAGAGGTAATAACAAATAACACCTTTTCTTTGGAGGTAATTTTAATCTTCTATTCCTTCAATCACTGATTTTTGTTTACTTTAACTCAAATAAAAACTTCTATTTACCAAGAGTCTAATAAAGAACTATCACCATTCTTCTACAGTTATGAAGAAGGTAACTAAAGGCTGATATTTTTAAGTGACACTTTGCAGCCATAGATTGAAGTGGCACTAATAAAATACGCTTTTTTTTTCTTCCTTTCACATAAACATTTCTCCTTATTTACACTATTCACCTGGTTTTAAAGATCCTTCCAAATCAGCTGGCCCTCCAGGAACAATGGAGTGAATAAAAATTCCCAGATCAAGTTTCCCCGTCTTCTCTCCACCAATTATGTGAAAGCCTATTAAAAACAGAAGAAAAGTATGTGAATACTTCAGTTATCAGTCTTTAAATTAACACAGGACAAGTATATTGGATAAGACTAAAATCTAGTTGGTCTAATAAATGTCAAGTAAAAGATAACTGAACATCTTGAAGTCCACCTGAAAGCAAATGATAAATCAAGTACTAACACACACAAGTCATTTGAAAATTCTATTTTTCTCATATCTGACTGTATTTTGTGTTGGTGCATGTGTGTGGGCACGCGCAATCCAGGCTTCGTCTAACTGCCTTCTGCTAGTTTCCAGCCAAGGCTAGAGAAAACAACTGTGACAACAGAAACATGCACATAAACATGTGATGTTATATGTAAATTGACTGACCGGAAGAAATGTATTTTCTCTTACAGAAAAAAATGTTTTCTGAATTGTTCAGTGCTTAAATGTCTGGCCCTGGCTTTGAGAACACAGTTTTACAAATCCTATTTTCTTATTAAACATTTAGAACACTTCTCTCTTGCAGCTGAGACTCCCAGACAACTTCTGCATTTTCTACTAGGTAAATCTGGGAAGATGATCATAATAAAAAAAAGTGATCAAAACTGAACTATTCAAGTGGAAGCAGCAAAGCAGTACAGATTGTGCACTGAAGAAAAAAGGAGTGCAGATGCATTTCTCTCATCTTTGCTCAAGTCTAAGATACTGTGCGGAGTCCATGATCTACACTATGATTGCGTAGGTTTCTCACCCTATTTCAATCGGAAAACGGTCCTATTTTGAGTCACAGAAGAAACTCCTAAGGGACATTTCAAAGAACTTCCCTACAGTGAAACCAAGATCAAATTATTCATTACTCATACAGAGAAAAATTGTGTGGGTTTATGACAAAAACAAGTTAGTGGTAGAGAAAAAAAAGGAAATGGAATGCACAGTCCAAGTGTCTTGTCTTCCAGGTTCTTTTTAACCTCAAATTAATGTTCCATACAGTGGTATTTTGAGAATAAGAACAAAAACGCACTGAGCTCCTACTGGCTTCAGCATGTTCTTTGGTCTCTAAAGCCTCAAAGCTGTTGCAGCTGTGTGCTGTGCACACAGACACAAACCTTATATCTGAGCACGGGGAAAAAAATTTCAAGGACCCAACGTCAGGATGATCCTTCCACACTTTAAATATGTCCTTCAATTTAGATTCAAAAAAAGTAAGAGACAGCCTTGTTAAACACCATTCGGCAAGTCAGTAAGCAGACACGGGCAAGAAAACTTGGGCTTCAACATCCTAAATTAATATCTTGGAAAACTAGATGCTGTCTATACTGCTTTCTTCAGTTCTACAGTAAATACTAAAAGGAAAGCCTATTTTACTTTTGGCTTCCTTGAACAAGCCTTAATAATAATATAAATAATTTTAAGGTCACTTACCTAAACCCATTTTTTCATCCTTTTTCAAGTTCACCAAAGTGATCTCTCTTTCTGGCGTCGAAACTCTGCTCTGCGCTGCTTGCAGCGTGTCACCTGAAAAGCCAACACGTCACCATCAGACAGTAGCTCAACCCATGCGTGAGGTTTTAGGTTTGCCCTTAGGCTCTGCTCCTCAAATTGGACTACTCCCCTGAGCAGTGGGTCCGGGTTTAAGCTTCACAGGCCATATCCAAATTTTAGAATTGTTGCAAGGAAAATTTCACAGATGGAAAAGCCTCCCCCCAAAAGCAATGCGGAACAAGTGAATTCTGTGTTTAGAGGAAGGTCTTGCCATACAGCTAAGAGAGGTGCCTGATTTAAGACTCTTAAGACTACTTAAGAAATAGACAGAACTGGTGGAACACAGAAGCACTGTCTTAAGTGCAAGTTAAAAGATACCAACTGAAGTACTTAAATAGATGATTTATTGACTTACCATTGTCTTTTAGTGATGTTGGTGATGGAAGATTTCCAGAACTATTCATGCTCACGCCTGGGATATGAATGCAAATATTAGACACTGCTAGCAACACTTCTCATTTGTTTCTATTTCAACAAAAGGTATTGCAAAGTATTTCAGGCTTGACACAGAGCGTACATGAGCTAATTCTTAATACTATGCTACTTATTTATTTAAAAATGAATTAATTATCAAAGTAACTTTGCTTTAGCAAATCCTAATTATTCTTGGACTCTGATCAGAGCTGCAAGTTTAGATGGATGCTAGCTCATACAAAAGGCAAAAAAAAAATTAAAGGGCATTTTATGACCACTCTTAACTTCAGATAAAACTAATGAAGTCTTAAGAAACCAGACAAATCAAAGATTGACATGACTGGATGAATACGCCTGTTTCAATAAATCAACAAAAGCACCATGGCAAGACCTTGCACACTAATAAATAAGTTTGTACAGCAACAAGAAATTAGCACTAAGGATCTCTACTCCATTTAGTTAGTACAGAGGACAGAATTTTCTTTATCACAATCAATGCCGAAAAAACCACGTCTGTATGTTAAAGAAGACGAAATAACTAATGTAATACATGGTGGAAATAAATGAGATAAACTACTTCAAGAGCCTTAGCAAAGCAGCCATGGACTTCTCAAGCCCTGATGTAAACCTCTATATGTTCGAGCTGCCCAGGAGATGATGGGTAAGTGCCTAAGACCACTAATTGCAAACCTAAAGGCATAGGATAAATGGCTACAAGCAGTCTCTAAAAAGTGATTTCTTCATCTCACTCTTCAGTGGCTTATGCTGTTTGTGCTGAAAAAACACAGGCCTCAAGTCATCACCCGAGTCACAAGTTGTGGAAATTGCAGCAAGAGTTTGTAGATAACTGAGCTATTCCTTTAAACTCATGTCTTGCACTAAGTTTCTCTGACATTTCATAATTACTCAGTATTACCATTTTCAACACACAAAAAGCCAACTAAGAGTCCAATCTAAGGTTCTTATAACTGGAACATGAAACCTCCCATCCAGTCAGAGAACGAAGGCACACAAACATTAGAAATTAACATACAAGAAGCCAAAAAGTTAGTTTAAGTGCAGCTAGCTACTCTACAGAGTGTGGTTTGGTGTGTGTATGGGAATACTGTGTGTGCTTACTTAGACTATCTGTGTGCAAGCTAAGAAAATTAAGAGCATGATCCAATCTTTCAGTGAATACAGCGTTCTTGTGAAAGATGTGATGCGCTGCCAAACTCAAACCCAATTTATAACATCCAGGTAAATGCAAACCCAAGAGCGCAGTGGCAACCTTGCTCCAAAGTAAACAGGCAGTAGCTGCTTTATGCCAAACTTCCAAAAATTGACTCCACTCCCTTTCAAAATTGACAATTCCATGTCAAACAAAATAGGGAGACAGGCAAATAATTAGGAAAATCTTACAATAAAATGACACTTCTAAGGGGCAAAATGGAAGACTTTTCTGGAGCAGCTTTTTCTGGGTGAGGTGCTGATACTTTTGACTCCTGTGTACTGAACTACTTTGTTCCTCTGAAGGAGGATTTTCTGATTCACTGAAGCATTTTTTCAGTAACCACAAGCAATTTGCTTGGATTACTTTAGCATGCGATAGTTGGTTTCCTTTGTTAAGTCAAAATATCACCATCAGTTAGGAACAATATTAAACTATTTTAAAGGAAGCAGTTGCTGAGTGTTGGTTAGTAAACACAGTATTTTTGGTATGCTGACCTACAACATAGGCTTGACCGGTGTCTTCAAGGGACGATGAGTCTGATTCATTTTTCTTTTGTTCGGGGCTTCTACTTAAACCTGCATGAGATTTTGAACTTAAAGGGGAGAAGGAAAGAAGGAAAGCCAGACAGAATGAGAGAGAGATGGGAGAGGGAAGGGAAGGATCAATGTAATAAAATAATGGTATGAATTACAAATCAAAACCAATGCAAAACATACAAAAGCTGTACACAAAGAGACTTCAGAGCGTTCAGAGAGGCTCTTACTTGTTCAATTTTAATGCTCCTACTGCTGATCCAGGGTCAAATTTGGGCATCTGCTGAAAGACTCTTCCCATTATGTCCTCAATTTTGGGGGAGGAGGAGTCCAAAGCGGCGATGACATTTTTCTGCGGAGGGTGAACGGAGATGTGGCTCTGAGTCAGATCATGAAATGACTTGCTCATGACCCTGGGCCTCTCCTCCCATGAGCTCTTCTCATTCTTCTCCTTCGAGGAGCTGGGAAGCGGCTGGAAGAGGGAGAGCTCGGAGCAGGAAAGCCTCTTCAGGATCTCTGCCTGCACGGAGAGCGGGCGCACGGCGAGCCGGTTCAGGGTGCTGCTCGCCAGGCTGCCCGTGCTGATCGCTCGGCCCATGTTAAAGCTTTTGACGGACTCGGCCTGAAGGTTGAGGCTCCTAAATGAAGCTCTTTCTGCAGAATTATTAAAAAAAAAAAAAAAAAAAAAAAAATCCACAGATACCAGTTATAGAGCACTGCTAATGTGATATCTTTATATAAAGCCAGCATTGTCAATGAGCAGCTCGCACAATGTGCGTTTTCCCTTAGTCATCATGCTCAAGAGTCACCACCTGAACCCAGTTTGCTCGGGAGGCAAAGCGTGGGTTTACTGACAGGGCACTAACCAGGCCAGCTGTTCCATTTAAATCCATAAATGCCAAACAGTCATCCTACTCCGAGTGCAAAGATGGCTGTTCCCTGTCCAACTGCTAGGCCTTATGGACACCCATGACCTCTTTGTGCAAAGCAAATGACATCCTTGTTGCCACTAAATGCAAGGGACTTGGAAGGCTGCTGCTCTTTCACGTTACTCTTCTGCATCTTCCGCAGATCCTTCCAACAAACAGGCAGGGCGCTCGCTCTGCTGCTCTTGGGCACTGCCACAAACACGGTCAGGGTTTCAGCACAGAATGGACTGTCAGGGTCTGCAATTGAACTGCTCCATCAGCTGAGCCCTGGGAACAGTCTGTGTGAATGGTCTTGGCTGAAAGCAACTGCAAGATGATAAAACTTGGCCTAATCCTCTCTTATTGAGCTAAGGGGTGCTCGTTTCTGTGAGCCTAACTGCCTCTCCTGGCTGGCAGAGCAGGTCCTTAGCTCAGCAGCCTTTATCAGGCCGTGTCAACTTGTTTGTTGGTAGAGCCTTTAAAGGCAATCAGGATGTCTGAAGCCTTCATAAACATGGGAGTTTGAGTTAGGTCACAGGGAACATGGAGGAAAAGCAATCATTAACCTCCTAAACATTTCTTATTGAAGGTCAAATCAGTATTGCTTTCTCTGTGTTAGACTTAGAGACAGAGAAAATTCAAGGTTTGGAAGGACTTTTTGATGCTTTTCAAGATGAAGTAGCACACAACTACTATCTCCTTGAAGACATGAAACAGTAAAAATACTATGAAAACAAACTTTTCATTTACACTGTTTTTACTTTGAGTGATCAAGCCTAATGAAATAATCCAAAGTACAACTTGATTTACTTCGACTTTCCAGAGACTGCTGAACACCAAGAGCTCCGAACTGAAAGAAAATCACAGTGTACAGCAGCAAACTCCTGTTTTCCGGTCTCCCACCATGTAACATATTCTTCATATATAGATATATATCCTATATCCTCCAAATCTGCCTGAAAAAAAAAAGCTTTCTGTGCACTGCTTTTCTTGCTTTTTGGGATAAACTGACACAAAGTGAGAATACAGCAGAAGCACCTCAAGTCACTTGATCCTATCTCTGTGTTAAGTTGATTTGGCCTGGCAGAATACAACAGCTACACAGATGTCACAAGCTTTTTTGTCTTTCTCCTTTTTTCTTTTCTTTTTCTTTTTTTCTAAATGTACAAGTAGAGATCACAAGCTCCACAGCGATGGGGTCGGACTCTAATCGCAGCTGCACTGGTGGAAATCTGGATTAACAGCAACTGGAATGCAGACAGATAAACACCAGGACAAAGAAAGAATGAGCAGGCAGGCTGACCACAACAGCCCTTCCGGGCCTGCACGGAAGGGCAGCCAGGCAAGAGGGGAGGCCATCAGCACAGAGGCTTGTTTTTCTCCCCAGTCACTGCTCTCTTCAGAAAATATTCTCCATGTAAAAGAACTCCATTGTATTTTAAGTTGTACACCCAATTTAGCTGGCAATTCTCCTATCAAAAGCAAAAATGCCTAGCCTCAACTTCGGTTATTTTCTGCATCCATCAAACCTTTTGAAGTAGAAGAGCTATCCCCACAGCTTAGATATGCCCTAGCCCAGTTTTTCCATTTTATCTATAATTTGGAATTATCAAATGAACTCATTCCACATTAAACAACAAGCAAAGTCCTACTAGAAAGTTATCTTCAAAGTTTCTTCTGAAAAACATCACAAGCAAATAATAAAAATAGATATTTATTGCTACTGAAATCCAAACATAACAGTCGTTACCTATGTCCTGAGTGTCTTGGTTGCTCTGCCTGGTTCTCATCTGTAGCTGGAACTTATGCTGGGAAGAGCAGAGATGCAGAAGGTACTGACAAGTCTTACTAGTGTCAGTCTGAAATGCGTGCTTGATGCCATCTGACGTGTTCTGCAAAGTAATCTTCTTCTTCTACAGGAGAAGAAAACGTAAAGATAGTTATTTCTTTTAGCATATAAAGGATTTTGCATTTTCTTGCACACAATTGCAGCACTCAAAATCTCCTGAACCAAAATGCATTAACAAGAGATTTCTGTCTAATATATCAGCTCAAAGTAACCTAAGATTTATAAAGTACCACTTCTGACTAGCTGAGAAGGTCATCAGTTATTATCATTTAATAGTCTCCGTTACTGTTACAGCTCAATAACAATTGCAAGCCCTATTACAGTTTGGAGAATGGAGATTTTTTAAGCCTTCCAGGAAATTAGAGTTCCTAAAACCCCAACACATACAAAACAGGCCCTGGCTTTCTAGTAAATTATCGGGCAGACTGAGTAGTATCACTTGCACTACCTGTATTAGAGCAAGCATTTGAATTTCAGCACCTGGTTCAACACTGACACATGACCATGGGCTTCAGGCATATGCGTTAAGTTGGCTGGCACTGTCCAGATCAAATGCCAGCCCCTGCCATCCATTCTCATTTAACTACTCTTAGAAGTATCACAACCCAAAGGCAACAGAGATGCATCTCCTAGACGTACAGAGTAGTGACATCCATGTCCCATATGCCCTGTTGGCCAAGTGACCTGAAATGCAGATCCTTAACAGACCCTCTCCCCCTGCCCAGAGCTCACTCTGACCTGGCTCTGTTCAAGCTCTCTCCTTAGAGGGCAGGGAAGCCAGAGTGCAGAGCACGACAGATTAGTGTCCTGTGCCAAGTGTATTTCACTATGCAGCTGCTAACATCTTTTCTGACACTGAAAACACAGCAGCGTAGTGTCTATGTTAACAAAAACCAAACAAAAGTAAGCCTTTAAAACATCAACATTTCCAATACTGAAGCATAACACAAGACAACTCGGCCACAAACAAACTGTCACGAGATAAATATAGGCTCGTAAACACAGGGAGAGGGAAAGAAACACACTGACTTACACTAAAAGATATTTTCTTCGTCTCTCTCCACGGAAAACGCAGCACAGGTGAGCGGATCCCGTTGTGCACTTCAAAAACGATGACTCCCTTGGAACACACTCCCAGCAGGATGCCCGTCTGGGACTTCTTCTCAGGCAGCACATGATGAAGGTGCACACCGTACTCCGTGAGCCTCTGACACATCTGTGACAAACCAGTGCAGCAAAGCTGTCATGAGAGCCTGAAGCTGAGGGGAGTGCGAGTTCTCACAATATGCAGGGAATTTACAAAAGAAAGATTGCTCTGTGCTGTTTATACACGATATCAAGACTGTTAGAGCAGAGACATCAGTTACAAGTGCAGACAGCTGTAGGTGTTGGTAATCTCCCTTGACATGTCCAACTCTACAGCAAATTAATAAAGCATTTATGAAATGGAACACCAAAACTATGAATAACGAAGACCTAAAAACAAATCCAAAGCTTTCCACAAACCAAGTGGTAGCAATGAAGTGATACCAGTCAGATGCATTTGTGATTAGCATGTTTATTAAACAACGATTTAGATTCACACCTTAATTCTGAGATCACTTTAAGCCACCACAACTGCCACAAGCAGCAGCATCACCTGCTTTGTGCTTCCAGACATTTCCTTCTTGCCCTCTCTTCTGCAACGTCGCAAGGGTTTGATGCCAAGAATCAAATGATGGAATTCAACTGCTCCCCTCTTCCACAGCCTATTCCCAGCAAGTTTAGGTTTAACCAGCCCCAAGTCTCCTCGTCTTGTTCAGTGCAACCCCTCTACATGAGAAAACTCTGCCAAATGAGCAAGCATCTTGCAATGGGAACAGGCAGCTGGGAGTGATTGTCACTTCAGTCTCAGTGAGGCCGTGGCACTACAGTGTTATAGTTACCTAGGGTCTCAGTGGCCAACTCTCCCCAAGGAATTCATTTCCAGTCACTGGATCACGGTAAAACTTCATCATTTTCTCATGGGAAACAGCAGCAAAGCCCATCATTACGTACCTTAGTGTGTCCTTTTATAATAATCCAAATAGACATATGATTATACTTTCCCTATCATCTTACCCTGGTATCTACCAAGGCAAGTCTGCTTGGTAATATTTGCAGCTTGCTTCACACGCCACGTCCCAAACAGCATAAACAGCATTAAGTCTAACAGAACTTTTCATTATTTAAATTCTTGGTTCACAGCAGAAAGAAGATTGAGAGAATGAAAGGTGTACTAGAACATAATCATAGCTTCCTTCAGAACAAGCACAGACACCAATGGTTGCTGATGACCATTTGTGTTGGAGTCAAGCAAAAAGACAACTCATCGCGAAAAAAACGGCCTTCCTCCCCATCTATTGCAATTTCTTTTCACTTTGCGTGACGCTTCTTTTCAGAAGATCTTTCCAGCTTTCTTCCTTTCGAGGATTCTTTCGGAGCTGTTTTCCTCTGTTTTCACTTGAAACCCAAGCACTTCTATGCAGCTAATACCCTCCCAAGGAATTTGAGAGCACAGCCCACTAAGGATGAGAACCACTACCACTTACCTTCAAAAACTCTAACTCTGTCTCCTTTTCAGAAGCACCCACGTAAGTGCTGTGCAATTTGGGCAGCTCCTCCTTGACGTAGGACAGATCCAGTTTCTCCAACACTCTTGCTGGTAGGTAGTGCTCTAGCCTGAAGTAGGACATGCCGTGTACCTACAACATGAAACAGGTTTGTGGCAGCACTATCGTTTTTAACAAGCCCTTTTAAACCCAATTATATACTCCAACAGTGAGACCAAGCAATAGGATTCAGAATCTCAGCCCTGAAAAAGAGTCCAACTTCATGCAGGTTTTCCTACCCAAGCCTAGACATACTTCTGCTACCTCATACACGTCTTCAAATTGATTTTGCAACAGTTACTACCCTCTCTCTGTCAGACTGTAAGAAAACTACAACTGCAAAGAGCACAACAGGCGAGCTCCCAAACCGCACCAGAACTACCAGGCACATAGGGCATCTCAAGAGCCCCTTCAGTCCCTGAAGAAGGACTGAAGAGTCCCAAGAACAGAGTTGGGGGTGACATTTCTGTTGTACCTCTGCCTGGTAATCTCCATACTCAGCTTGGAGAGCTAGGGATGCTAATAACAAGGCTGTCTCATCGTCACAGTGCATCCTATCTTCCAGGATGTCCTTCCGCAGCTGCAGATAATACTGGTGACAGGTCAAAGTATGCCTGAGGGTTAAAAAAAAAAATTATATATATATATGTATGTATGTATGTATATTTTATTATTTCACCTTTGGTACCTGTCCATTTAGCAACTATAGAGTGTTTAAGTTAACACTCAACTTCTTTTCATAAATTTAAGGCTTAAGAAGGTTAACAAAGTGGTCATACACTCACTGTATAAGGCTGACATCGTCCACAAAAAACTTGATGCGAAAGAAGAGAATGAAGTTGACAGGGGGCTTGCTCTTTTTCTTTGATTCCTCTTTCCAGCCTTCGGGAGCTACTTTACTTAGCTTTATGTCAGGATCAACGAAGAAAAATTCATGGTCTGCCATCAAGTGAAAGGGAAGCACGTGGATTAAAAGAATATAATAATATGATTAAAAGAACAAGTTCCCTCCAGCTAGAGGACTTCCAATTCTTTGATTTAGTTTTGATTAGCGAGGTTTTCCATGACTCACAGAGGCTTATTATTAGAATTAAAAGCTATTAAAGGGAACACTCAATAACAGCAGAAGAAATATTTTTCCAGTAATCCCAAAGGAAGAGCCCTGAGGAAGATATTTGGCCTCGGTACAAAAGACTGTCTCACCAATGCCAGGCCATCCCTGCTTATCTAGTCCCCACACCACGTAGCTGATAGTCAGCATTCTGCAACGCTCTCAGACCAGCGTTCTTGCCTCTTAACGTAGCCAGTCCAAACAGGTGATGCTCCACCAGGCCAATATGGGCCACGACCATATCGAAGACGTCTTTACAAATCGTCTTGGTGTCACAGGTCAGCTCCAGCTTCTGCCCACTCAGGAGCATGACATTGACTTTTCGTCTGGTATCATCGCTCTTCCCTTTCTTCGTCTGCATTTTGTGAAATATCGCAACATTTAAGGTCATGATAAAGATGCATTTGTTGATTTAATGCATTTCCCCTGCCGTGAATCATGGAAGGGATCCTTTCTTACCAAGATAGACTTTGGCAGATCCAAGGAGATGAATGGCTCAATAGTCATTTTCACAAATTCGGGGCCAAAGAAATTCTGCAAGTAACAAGAGTTCAGAATGAACATTAAAACAACACACAGAGGGACAGTCCCAAAGAACCTCTTGTTGGCAGCACGCCAAAGAGGACACATTGATTGGCTACATCACTCATCACATCACTATATACTGCCTGTTTTCCTTTTCCAGTTGTCCTTCCCTTAAATTGCAGGACACGGGTTGGCTACCGGGTCTATCTCACTAACGAGCAGCCTGGCATTGTGAGGGCTCACTGCCAATGCCACCTGGACAAATCTCTGACAGTGGCACGCAAGTTTTGTCACCTACATGAAATGTTTTAGTTTAGTCACTTCTTTAGGAAGAGGCACTCGACTGGCCTTCTAAAGGGAAAAAAAAGCAGCGGTCACAACCTGCCACCTAAGGTGAGCACTGGAAGTGCTAGATATGCAAAATTCCTAGGGAAAAAAGACTAGCTGGCTAGGGCCTACGTGAAGGAGCTCAGTGCTAGGGATTGGAAGGAAATACAGGAATATTACCTTGGATTAGGGTAGGGAAGAAAACATACAGAAAACAGCAGAGGACAACCTGTCACCTCTTCAAAACATCAGCTACCGCTTTGACTTATTTCTCTGTCTCCATGTTCCTCTGTAAACTTATAGTGCATCTACTCATCATGACAGCGAGCAAAGGAAAGGGGAATTTGGAAGGTGATTCAGTGTGAACACAGGGGCCAAGTGAATCCCATCTACCTTCCCTTCCCAGCTTGTACACTTAACAGACACCTTGGATGCTGGCCAAACACATCTCTATCCTCATCAGAGAGGAGCAAATGCAAACGGAAGTGGTTGAAAACACAGACTTGAGGACAAAAATGCATCCTAATGAAGTGAGCACGCTACACAGTTTGAGAAGGAAGTGGCTGAGAGAGGCAACTTTGACTCAGGACTCGCTGTCTAAGTTTGTGACTTTGGCTACTGCTTTAGGCTAGGCAGCCATTGGTGCCACAAAACCTCAGAAATCCACTGTGAGAGAGTAGGTCTTTGCTATCAAGACGACACCAGCCACCTAGTACTTAATGTGCTGATGACTGTTTACTAGAGCACTCAGCTTTTAAATACCACAAGCTTTGAATTCCAGTGGAGACGTGGCCCTGTATGACAGAAAGGCAAGCTCAGGGCATTACCCTCAGTTTTCGTTGCGTCATGGCCGTTTCCAGCGCAATCTCCCTCAGCGGATCTCGGGTGATGTCCAGGATGGAGGACCTGATGGCATCTCCCGGGTAGAGGTTAGGTCGGGACTGCCGGAGCGCCATTCGGGCCTGCAGTTGAACCATTTCTTCTTCCTGGCGCTTCAGCATCACTTCTTGGCTGATAAGGTTGCCTTCAAATGGTGCCTCGTGCTGCCTGTCGTGGAGTTGAGAGACGATGAAAGGCATTACCGGTCTGACCAAGATGCTCTTCTGCATTTAAATACTACGGTTGAAGGAGGAGTTATAAGAACTTATTTAAGTGGAAACCAAAGAAACAAAAATCAGCCTATCTCGCATATTACTTGAAACAGCAACCAGGGAGGTTAACACAGAGCGTTCCCATCGCCACACTCTACAAGCCACGGATCAATATGGAAAATGAGTGCACCGTGCCAAGTTTCCACAACTGCCTGTCATTTATTTCTATGAAAATAAACCCTCAGCTGCAGTCAAAAAACTCATGACACTACAAAACCAGTGAACCAAGACAGAACTAGCAAATCTAGGAAAACATGAGCGCACTAAAATGCTGAAGTTTCTCTGTTCATGCAGAGACTGAGAGACAAATGTGCTTCAAAAGCGGGCATTTAAAAAATAAAACCAAAGAAAACTTTGTCCTTTATATAGGCACATATTGCTCCAATTACTACTTCTACAGCATTTTTCCACCAACTCTTTGTTCATTGTGTTTCATTCTTTTCCTCAACAGTAGCACAGCTGTAAATATTTGCAATACTTACTTACTTGTTCTATTCTATATTCAGATACATTTCAACATTCTATATTTTAAATTTTTCTAAACACCGTACAATATTTTGTTCAGCTTCTTATTTTACTGGTGACAAGCAAAACAAAGTATTGTTTTTGCCTTTCAACTGCTAAGAAGAGGTTGGTTGATAAGAAGGCACCACAAAAGATTAAGCTACAGAGCCTAAAAGAAACGTCCAAAAGTAAAAAAAACCCACACTAGTATTTTTAAAGAACAGTGCAAATCCTCCCCCTGTTCCTATCACAGCATATATGGATCTCACAGGACCTATCAATTCTATTACACATGGAAGAACCAGGAAAGAAATCCACGCCCAGTTTTGGATAGCAAAAGCAAGAACAAAAGACACTGTTTTTTAAACCTAAAAAATAAGAAGTTAGGAAAAAAACAACTAAACCACCACTTCTGCTTCCCTTCCTCTTCCCTCTCGTACTTAAGGAAAATGTAAACCAATCAAGTCATTCATCAAAACACACACTTGGTGCTTCTATGCTAAGTGTTAACTTTTGACGGTACATTAGAATAATGAAAAACATGAAAGAGGAAAGAAAAAGTATTTGAAATCTTGCATTAACTATCACAAACTGAATTTATTTCCATCTTTGAATGGAAAATTTTTATTTAATTTTGATTTGATTTTGATTGAATCTATTTCCATCTTTTCACACCCAAGTTTCTAGCAGATGCCAACTGTATGAGCAGCGCACTGCATTGCCTTGAAATTTCTGACATTTAAGTTGGTTCTGTTGGCTGGTACGCACAAAAATCCTCTTCAAGTGAGAGGAGGGAACGAGTCCAAATGATAAAATGCCCTCAACGTGCCAATACGTGGGCAAAATTACCCTGAGATTCCTCTAACCTAATTTCAAGTAAGACAGACTGTAGTTCCAGGAAAACGTAACCACGTTGCCCATTGTGCTTTCCACTGCACCGGGCTTCTGGAGCACTGCTCCCCTTCTCCCGCGCTACAACAGCCCCAACGATGTGCGCACACACAAGGACAAAATAACTGGAAAAGGCCTCGGACTTGCCAAGGCTTGTGCACATGTTTGAGCTTTGCACAGAGCGGAAGCTCATTAAGTATCAGCGTACGTGGGAATATGCACCGTGAGCTACGTGAAATCCGCCCACGAGCACTCTTAAGATCAAGGTCTAGGACAGGCTCTTGAAACAAACCAAAAAAACAAACCAAAATAAACACTTTCTGAACATAAATGTCTCTGAGTTGGCAAAGGAGATACGGAGCAGGGAGACACGGCGCAAACAGCCATACCTGGAAGCACTCGCTTATCTGCAAGGCCTAACGATGACAAAACTGCCTTGTTAATAACAAGCAGAAAGCTCTGTGCACTGGAGGCAATGGTAAATTGTGTATTTTTGTGTCAAACGCCATCACACGGCTGCTTTATCCTCTCAGCTCACAGGTGTGAGTTTTCCTGAGAAGCTTCTGGATTGCTCAGCAGAATCTCAGGGATATTATTAACCCAGAGAGGGCAGGTGAGCCGTCGGGCTGGAACGCCAACTCCTGGGAAAGCAGCAAGCAAATGGACTCCTCGCCTCATGTACTTACCCTGCAATTACCACGTTCTGGAGCACAGAAGGAAGTTGGAGGAAGGGAAGTAGCAGGCATTCTCCAATGGAAAGTGCAGGGGAAAGCCCAGGAAGAGGCTGAGAAAAAACGGGATTTTCTGGGGAGCGGGAGAGAGAGAGAGAGAGAGAGAGAGAGAGAAGTAGCAGCCAGTGGATAACGGGAAGGGAAAGGAAACACAAGGAAGAAATCCATGTCAGCTGCTGCTCCTGGAGAGAAAAAGGAAGAAGCAGTAAAGGATGAAAAGAAAATCACTGGGATGAGAATCAAGAACTACAAGAAGCAAAGGAGGAAAAACAGGCACAAGCAGCCATTGCTGTGATGGCAAGCACGCCAAGATGCTTAAAGGACAGCAGGCACAGAACACGGAAAGGGTGTTTCAAAATCAAAATCAATTAAAAATATTCTGGGGTTTCTGCTAGTTTAGGAGGAAGCCAGTCTACCTCAACAGCTCTGTGGCTCATAAATCTCCACAGCCTTTCCCATCTTTCAGAAGCGTCTGCCGATTCCTGGAAATGGGAATGCCACCCCTGGGTCCACAGCTCACTTTTACAATGATTACTTCACAGCTAATTAAGCAGACTCCCTCTACAGATATGCCCAAAGAGTACTAAATATAAAATGAGTTTAACTACAGATAGTATCTCTAAATAGAGAGGGTAAAAAAACATACATATTTACATATGTATCACCAAAAAATGCTCCCAAATGCTCAAAGGATCCTACTCATGTCTTAAGGCACAGATACTTTCCCAAACCCTGGCATCAAATGACTCTTCTTTCAGCTAACGCACAGAGGGGAGCCCAGGCCAAAACTCAGATTGAAAACTACTGAACTTTGAGAGTAGGACCATATAGCACAACATACGGCTTGTTCTATTGGAAAGCAGAAGGGGTGACTCCTCGCTGCACTTGCATATCCAAATTACTGCCATTGGAAGGAAATAGTCTTAAAACATCCATATAAAACAAGACAATATAAGGCGAATCACAGAAAACTGGTCTCATTGGCTTCTTGAGGCATTTTCACTGGCCCAATGGGCCCGATTCATTTACACCAATGCGCTTCGGTTACAGACTGCATTCCAGTTTCCTAACAACTTGAAAATAGAAAGGGAACTTCTTTATCAGCACCTGCCAGTTACTGCTGCTTTGCCCAGCATAGCTAGGGTTTGCAATTATTGAACTGCTTTCCGCCCTAAAATTCCCAAATCCTTACGGTTTGGATGGCTAAGGCTGCCTTCACGCTGCAGCCAAACGCACACGCTGCTCTACAAATTGCCACTATACCCAAAGCAGAAGGATTCCCACCTGGCCCATTCTGCAGCACACAAACATCCTAAAATAGGGAGCCCAGAAGCAATCCTCCTCCTGATCTCTCCCAGACAAAGCGAAGAGCTGCTGACAAATGGGTCTGCTGCTGTAAGAGGGTGAAGAGAGAAGGGAGGGGGAAACAGATGTGTGCATTTTTTTTTTTGCTCTTTTATTACACAAGAGCTGGCTGAATCACTCTGCTCAAGCATTCCAAGGTGATTCAGCAACGGGCAGAGATTAAAAGAGGAGAATTTTCCACCTTTAAAAGGCCAGCCTTCATAAGAATTCCCAAGCATCTATAATATAATATATTCAGGTGTCACTAGCAGGTACTGCTACACATGCTGCTGCTGCTAAAAGACTATGTGCAAAGCACAACTGCTTTTCCAAGGGCAATTCTGATCAACAGCACAGCACTTTTATGAAGAAAAAAATAGAAAAAAAAATACATGTAATACTCAAGTACACAGTATGAAAAAATATATTTCAAAAAGCATAAATCAGCCAAGTGGCCTACCTGTTCAGTGTGGAGCTTTTACATGGAGAAGGGAAAAAAATCCCAAGTCGCAGCAATGTAAACTCAAGTATTTGCCAGAATAAGCAACCAAATATATGGCTTTTGGCTTATTTCAAAGCAATTGCATGTTACCATGTCCCTATAAAAATGAACGGTTCAAAACAATCCTTTCTAATATCATCACTTTCTAAAATACTCCCATAGAAGACTACTGACTTATGAGACCATAGGGGGATCATAGTTGGGGGATCATAGTGAAAAATTTCTTGCAGATCTAGAACAACTTCTACTCCAGACAGGGTGCACTTGAAGAAATGTGGCTTTCCTGTGGCTTACCTGGCCCGCTGAGAATTAGCTTGACTCAATGTGGAGATATCATCAGCGCCCGGTAAAGCGCCGCTGGTATCATCTCTCTTGAAACCTTCATTTCTTCTCGCTAGCAAATGAAAAAACAGATTAATAATTGACCAAGCTATAAAATGTTGACAGAAAACCATTCCAGAACATAATGAGATTAGCAAGATAAGGTAATAATGCATCCAATTCCTAAGAGGGGATTTAAGAAACCACTAAAATGCTGAGCTCCTGTGTCTCATTGCTCCTTTGATTTATCCAATCAAAGGCTTGGATTGATCCACATCTTTTTGTAGTTCTTCTTTTCTTCCTTCTTTTTCCTTCTTCCCCTGGTAGTTAACACATGCTATCCTGCTTGTCACAGTCCTCTCCTTGGCTGCAAGGTTTTCCTGCAGCGACACGTGCAGTGCTACACAAAAAGGTCAATTCTCCCAAGTGCTTCACTTGGATCCCTTAGGGCAATGCGTGAAGAGCAGAGCAGTATCGGGGGTGCTCGTGCCTGCTAGCATCATCCGATGCTTCAGCGCCCGGTGTGAAGTCTCCTAGATGGTCAGATGATTACCCAGGACAACATTTCACCATATTAGTACTTTTTCAAAATTAAAAATAAAAATAAAACCAAAAAACAACAGCAAAAAAGCTCGCGGCACCTTCTTCCAGGCTCTGCTCCCACCCCATGTGAAGAAAACCCTTCTGGTCACATAACCAACTAACAAACCATCACACCAACTCCTGCTTTTCCAGGTCACTAGCTCTGGAGAACCTTCTTCAAATTCGTGTCACTAGTAACTTGTTCATTGCCTTGTTTGCATTATGCTTCCATCTTAGGAAATCTTTGGCTTCTGTTTTATCAGTGATTTGATCCTTGCAGCAATGTTCATGGAAATCACAAGCATTAAGTCACGCAACATTTCACATAAAGCTTTTTGTATTGTAGCATAAACACTGCCCTAAAAATTCATTCATTCTTGTGCCTCTGAAGGCTGCAGAAGTCATTAAATCAAGTGCTCCAGCAGCAAGTTACCCGTTTCCAGCTTTTCCTCCCAAGTTTTTTTCAGGGAGCTAAATGCTGAACTTGCTTCTGAGCAGACTGCCAATTATGCTGACCTCTACACATACTGTAATTACATGAGATCAGCTTACAGCTTCATATTACTGGTAATTACCCAGTCTCCGACTAAAGATTTAACTGCCTTCATGTTTCGCACATCTATTTTTAACCTTCAACTTCTTTTTCTTTTTTCCTGTTTTTAAGAACTATTAAACACGGGTCTTACCTTGCCGGAAATCTGGTTCTGAGGAAATAATAGACGGACTTTCGCTGGAGGTGCTGTAGACATCACTGTGGTAGGATTTGTACCGTCTCAAAGGCTCTGAAAGGTTAAAAAGGGTGAGCAGGAGAGTCAAAGGGAAGCATTTCTAGGGCAAAATCAAACACAGTGGGACGCTGGAAACCTGATGCTTTCAGCATATTTAAGCATTCTCTGCCTGATTTTGAGGAGAGAAAGCCTATAAGCAGACACTGTGCAGTCCCAGCCAGTCTCTGCAGCCTGTTGCTCTGCAGTTGGCCTCCCTCTCTAGGCTCTGCTAACAGATCCACCTCCTCTGAACTTCTCTCTTGTGGTCCCTTCTGAGCTAAAACCAATAGCAGAAAAAAAAAAGAGCTAATATATTTGGTCCTTAGATCACATGAAGAAAACTAGCAAGGCTCAGTCCCTGCTTCCTTCACTACGAAGTTGTTAAAATCCCTAGAGAGGTAAAGACCTGGTAAATTAAAATTCATTCAGCTTGGCTTTGGCATCTATACTGCTTAACTTGGACAAACCAGAACAGCTCAGATAGTTTTGATGCAAACTGTAGGTGCTACAGATGCGACTGACTGGAACAGCCTCTGCAGGAGAAAAGGATGAAAACAACCAAATTTATGTGATTAATGAATCAACTTGATAAATAAAGAAAATCAACCATAAACAATTCTGTAAATACAAGTAAAAAGAAAACCCTGCAGTCAGGAACTCCAGTGGCAGAGTAGACACGGGGAGCAACCGAGCAGCAAAAGAGGAGAGGGTTAGAACAGAGCACAAGGATGCGATGAATTTGCTGAAAGAAACCACCCTTATTAACAAGACTGTCCCACAGAGGAACTTAGAGCTCATTCTCTACTCCAACTCAGAGCAGTTGAGGCCAAGCCTAGAGAACTGAGGTCGCTCCAGTCTCAGTCGGTGTCCGCCGCACAGCTGGGTACCACCATTCGGCTTCCCCTCTGCAGAAGGAAGCACTAAAACCAAGGGGTGGGAAGGTCATACGACCTAATCCTCGAGTAACAGCTCAATGTAACAGCTCTGCAGCAGGACAGGTTTGCTCCTTGCAGCATCATGGCCTTCATTAATAAAAAACATATTTGCCTTTCTACCCTATTAATTAGGGAGACTTGAAGGAATTGTGAGGAGCTGCAGCACACTAACATCTGCAATACCTGCAGATAGTTAGTTAGGAAATAGTTTTCAACTTATTTCCATCAAGAAACATGTTTAAATTAAAAGGTGATGTGCTCAAAACTCTGCTCTGAAACACAGTTTAAATGGCATCTAAGCTTAATTTTTACAAGATGATTTCAGGCACCGCAAAAAGAAAATCAGAGCTTCCAAGTTCCAGAAAACAAAAACACCCAATGGAAACTCCTGTAAAAGCAGTAAAAAATGTGGGATAAGTGGTCAGGGTTCAGAAAAAAAGCCAGCTGACAACACTACTTGCTTAGACTTCTTACAGTAGCATGGAAAACTTTAAATAGGAAAAAAAGCAGGAGAACAGATTAAATGATGCTATAGACCAAGGATAAAGGCAAGTTCATGCCAAGTTTGGAAGATGTGTTTCCAAAAACTCCTTCCAGAAAAAGAGGCATTTTGATTTTTTGCATTTCTACCAGCTTACTTGGACTGCACATTTCTCTGCTGCCCTGGGAAATACAACGAGTTTGGGTGAGGAAGCTCTTAAAAGCAAGCCAAGCAAGCAACCAGAAACCCTCCAGGCTGCGTGGCTGGGAGGGAACTGAAAGATGAGATGCACGGAAGCTATGGAAAACGAACAAATTCTCCTCCAAATTTCCCCAATTTCCATGAGATTTCTGAATAGTCTGGGTGGTTTTTTAATTTAGGGCGACTGAAAAGACTTCAGAATTGACTTCCTTTCTTACAGTAGTATCAAGAATGTTGTAGCAGAAGTTGTTCAACTCGTAGCCTTTCTCACACACGACAGTGTTTAGATCTCAGTATCTTACAGGAATATTTCCAATTATTCTCCTGTCCCTAGAAATAACCTGGGTTGAAACACGTTGCAATTATAGCCTACAACTAAAACTTATAAATAAATCTGGTAGCAAAGATGTCAATTCATGTTAACCACAGCGCAGAGCTGAAGGAAACAGCGCAGCTGGACCGAGCCGCGTCGCTCCGCGCTGCTCCGATGCTCTTGTGGCCTCCGCGTCAAGGGCAGCTGAGCGCAACTCAATCGGCCCTCGAGGCAGGACCAGAACCAAACTCCCTGTTTAGTTTAGGCCAGGCAGCAGGCGCAGGCCCAGACAAGTCACTGGGAGAAGGCACCAGCCCAGCCAACTGCAACAGAAACCAGAGGAGGGCGTTTAGCTTCGAGTTGCAATAGCCTCCGCACAACCCAAATCACGGTTTTCAGATGCTTGTTATTACAGAAATCCCTGGCTGTGCTGAGCAGGGAAAGGGCAGAGTGGGAGGGAAGGAGCTCACGCTTGCCCTTTTGGGCTTCTTTTTGTTTGTTTAAAGATGTGTCTGTTACTTAAGCGTTGGATTTAAGAACCATTTAGAAGACATTGCTGATCTTCCAAAAGCAACTGGGACGTGCTTCTTTGGGAATACTTTAACTAGTAGCTTGGAGTCGTGCTTACTCTTCCCTTTTCATCTCATAAAATTCAATTACCTTATATGAAGTAGCAGAGGGATAAGCATTTAAGTAGCATATCCTACTAAGAACAAAAATAATAGTGGCTGATGCCAGGGTATTTGTACTTCACAGAAACCTCACAAACATACCTCGCATCCTCCTTGAGGAGCCTATTTCTACCATCTCAGTAAAATCCTTGATTGGAAGTTTCCCCTCCAAAATAACCCACTCTATTGTCTCACCTTCCCTCTTCAGGGATACGAGCCCTGACCCCTGCTCTAGCCAAACCTTTCTCATACCAGACATACCAACCGCGTGACAACTCCTCTCCCACCGCTGCATTTAAGTCATACTTGAGCCCGGGGATCATAGGGCATGTGTAAACAGGGATGAAAGTTGCTTCCACACGCAAACAGGCTCCATCCCTGTATATGACTCGCATTTCCTCTGCTTAACCTACACAGAAATTCAGTGCATATAGTGCATATAGACCTCTAGAAACACAAAATACTCTCTTCTCGCTGACTATCTCAAGCACAGATGGACAGGGGAAGAAGACAGAGGACCTCCTCTTTGGGTGGCAAGCTGCAAAATCAACTCCTTTTTCATCAGACAAGAACTCAGGACAGGGACAAAAAGCTGCCAATGCAACAAGGAGCAGAGCTTCGCACAGGACTGTCCCGGGACAGCCACGGGCCACGCTCACACACCATGGGAGGGTAGGTCCAGCACGTAAAAACTCTGTTTGTGCTTCATAACTCTCAGAAGATAACGAGCAAAAATAAATCAAACGGGCCCACTCAGCACAGATAAAGCTCTGGGTCTTAGCAGGTTTTAACTTCCAAGCTGTAATCAATCTGGCCAAAGTGCACAGAATGACACAAGAAAACCAAGAGTGAATAATACAAGTGGAGACAGAATTTGCTCTTCCGTCCCTCGGCAAAATTAAAGCCCATTTTTGAAGCCTGCTCTTGGTGCTCCGACCTGGTCCCTGTACACCTGAGCCCCAGGAGCATCTTTGCCTCAACCCACAGACTGTGACCCCAACTATCCAGCACATAAACAACCAGGGGAAAAACATACGAGATGGCGAGGTCGTGAGCAAGGCCCTTAAAACGACAGCGTCTTTGGAAGCTTTGAGGCTAAATCTGAGTCCAGCCAAAAGCAGCTTATAACGCAGTTTGGATGGTCTGTAGCTCGTTACCAGCTACCCCATTACAGTACAGCTGCAATTAAAGCTCTGACATTCTTTCCACTATAAACCCAACCTCTCATGAGTTTATAATTTGGGTTGTAAAATCCAAACCTCTGCGTGAGGACAGCTTCCAAAACACTCAGCTCCTCAAGGTTTTAGCAATAACAGAACAGTTTGCCAGCTTAACTCAAGCTAAGTTCAAGTCAAAAAAAGTCCCGTGTCATTCAAGTTCCTCTGCAGAGGCCAATGTCATCTTACAATTCAACAAAAAACCTGCAAGCAGTGAACAGTTGAAAGCAGATTACTGCAGCTAATGTATAATTAAATATAACCTAAATGTAACCTAGACCTGGATTCCACTGAACTTAAGGAACCTTCAAGCCTACCAACGGGCAGACAGATGTTCTCTACCCAGCCCCACGACCCATCTTGTTCCCACGAGTCCTTGCCCATTCTGCCAGCCCAACTGAACAGAATCCTTGGTTCTGAGCAGACAAGCTCTCCAAACGCCTTCTTCCTTCTCCTCCCTTTCTCTTTCAGCGCGTGTCCTTGGAGGCCACGCCATGCTAGCCTCCAAGGCCCATGCCACAATCCAGGTAACCAGCACCTCCAAGCAAGAGGTGCTATCCCTTCCTCTAGGCTTCTTTCCCACTCCACTTGTGGTGCTGTCCCACCCGGCAGCTACGCAGCTCCTGAGTGCCGGCAGGAAACTCGCCGTGCATATGGTGTGGCCTGAGATACCGCCGCCTTCCCCAGGGCTGGGGATATTTTCCTGTGGCTTTCTACACAGTTCCTCACATCTCTGAGCCGTCAATTTATGCCAGAAGAGCAGCTCCACACCCTCCTGGTAAGACTCAGTGTAGGGAAAGATCTGCCTACCCGCTAATTACTTGAAAATGAGAGGCAACACTAATGCCGAGGAAACAGGAGAAGTCGCAGGAAGCTGCAGAGTTGATGTACTAGAGAGTTCTGTGATTTTGCTCCTGAAGGTGGAATAAGAAACTTTAAATCAAGTTTCTCCAAAAAACTCAATGTCTCACACGAGATGTGAATTCTGCTATGAAAAAGCATTCCCCATCTTGCTAACAGCCCTTAGAAGTGGCTCTCACTAACAATTCGCAGTCACAACCACATTTCAGCCCCAAACTTTTAATTAGTAAACAGACAAACAGAGGGAAAACACAAAATAAATGGCAAAGAGCAACGCCCCTCGCTTCAAGCAAAGCATGGAACATACCCTCCTTCCTGTAAGAAGCCTCAAAAAAAGCAGGAGCATCAGGGCCCAGCTCTCTGTTGGGAAAGCATCCTGATGTTTTCCACAAGTAACTCCCGCAAACTCAGAAGGCTGCACAGTGAGTCACCAACCATTGCCTAAGCCCTGTCTGTGCAGACTCTTCCCTGGGCTGCTGGGCCTCTGAGACGCTGTTTCCTGCTTCCCTTGAGCTGCACTTTCCCCCATTCCTTACAGGAGTCTCACCCAGCCCAAGGCTCTCAGTGGGCACGTTGGGCTTTCTGCAGCCTCCCCATCTCCCTGAGTGGAAGCAATCAAGCCTTGCTCATCCCTGAGCCTGGCCAAACTTTTGCTTCTGCTCTTGTGCAACAAAAGCCGCCACGAAACAGCTCTCCTACACGAGGCTGCTTATCTTTCCCAATGCAGGGAGTGGCCCTCTTTGTGTGCTGCCTATGCTCAAAGACCCACGTTGACTCATATACCTGATACGGTCCCCTCCAATTTCAGACTCCTAAAGCGCAAAAAAACCCCAACCAGCTTGGCCCAACTCCATCAGAACCCTCAGTAGATCATTACAGGTTCTTGCTAAACCCTTCTTGATAAATCATGGTTATATTCCCAACAGCCTTCATTCCTTCACTTGATAATGTCACACTCACCAGAAGGTGCTCATTTTATAGCACAAAACCACCCCAGCTTTCCTTTCTGTACAACTGCTACAGAAATAACAGCACCTTTTCCAACTGTCACATGCCATTTCAGCGTCATGCGTGCTTCCTGCAACAGAAGGATTGTATCAGCAGGAAGCCAAGAACATACTTCCCATGACTACCTGAATGCAGGAATCTTCTGGATGGCCATAAAGGGCATGAACAGAATGACATTTTGAACTCAAATCCTGATAAAAGGCTCTATTAACTCTCCCTAATATTCACAAGGAGATGCTTAAGCTTTAGGAAAACTAGATGGAAGATGCGATTTCATGCAGCCTGTCATAAAACAGCCAGACATTGATGAGCTTTCACAAGCATGGCTTGAAAACACATTCAGACAAATGACCCAGATACATCTTCTGGCACAGATCTTAGAGCAGAGATTGAATCATTTGACCTAAAAATACAAGATAAAGTGAAGACCACAGTAGTGATATGAGTTGCTACAAGAGAACTTAAAATTACCCTAAGGAGAAATCTTTTGAATGACTGGAGTTAGCAGATCATTCAAAAACTTTACTCACCTTCTACATTCATGGCTTCCCTCAGAAGCTGCAACTTCTTCTGTCTCTCTCTTATCCTGTCAAAGGCGCTGGATATTGCTGCAGAAGTTGACGTCTCAGGCCCGTGACGTGTTTGTTCCAGTTTTTGAGGCCCAAAGATGTCCATTGCTATGCTCCCATCAGAATACCTCGCCTCCTTGTTTCTTGCAGGAGCAGAAGTCCGTACCATAAATGTCTCACACTGATGGCTGTGTTTGTGGGAGTCTCCAGCATGGTCTCTCTCAGCTGCTTTGTCACTTGTGCAAAGCAAGTCTGTGGAGGAAGCCCAGATTTTCCGCTTGGGAGTAGCATCTGTATGAAGGGGACCTTTCTTTTCAAAATCACTGGTTTTACATTGACGAGGACAAAAAGCATCTTCCTGTCCTGAGCTGTAATCTGTGGAAATACCTTGGAAAAACTCCTCCTCGCGCTGTGTTCCTCTAATGGACAGAAAACCCATAGATTTGCTAAGTCCTTTGTTAAGTGTGATCTGTTGGGAGAAATGAGGCTTGGGTCCATCAGATGCATCGACCATCAGGTTTTTTGCTAGAACAAGAAGAAACGATCATATATGTAATTTTGCAGGACATAGACAGCTGCACAACAGAAGTTTCTAATGTTCTCAAGAGAACACTGAGCACATATTTCAGCACTGACTTTGTCAAGCAAAACACTAGGATGGTTGCTGGAAGGGAAGCCTGAGTCAAAAAGGACTAACCCCAAATAGTTTATATCTGACAGGCAGTTTATTCCTGAAGTGCTCAGGAAATAATTTACGGTCTAATGTAATTCAGCATTAACATTAGAAAGGTGTTACGTGTTACCACATACGCGTTGGGAGTTGCTTTTAATTTTACTTAATCTGGCCTATGACCAAAAGTACTGCTTAATGATTAATTTCTAATCACCCACTCCTTTCACATCTCACACCAGAAGCACAACCTACATTTTTTTATTGCCTTATGACAAGTCCAGGGTTGTTCTCCAGACTCAGCTGTCCCACGGTAGTCTCAGTACTAAGAGGATGACTGTACAGTAAGGAATTTTAAAAATCCTAAGTCTAAGTGCAACGACTATTTCTGAGGATGACAGAATGACTGAACGGGTGCAGTACTCTGTCTTATAAGACAAAGACTGACAAAGCTTCCAAGGTCAAGGTGATTCCATGAGCCTGTCTGCTTCATGTCTGCATCAGCCTAAACTACGGACCTATACCTCTATCCATACCTACATGTCTCTCTCCCTGCCTCCTATGGTGAAATCACTCTCAGGATCAAAGAAACAGAACGAGGTGGGACAATACTAAGGAAAAAGGTGCTCTGAACAAGATTATATCGTTGCCACTGAAAGAAAACTGCTGCTAATGTAAGTCTTGGGATTCAATTTTCTCAAAGCATTAGCCTCACTGGGCCTTTAAGACCCTAGAGAAACACAAGTCTTAAAAGCAGTCACTCACCATTATCTATTCAATGCAGCGTGCTAACATCCATTCTATAAACATCAACTTCACATTGATACCTGTATGTATCAGGGCAGCAGATATTTTTAGGCAAGACTTTCTACTCAGGCATTGAAGATGCGGATTAAAGCAGCAGCAGCTGGACAAGCCCCAAGGGCCAGGATGCCCCATTTCAGCGAGCAGAGGTACAAAGGTCTGAGCTCTTTGCCTCAGCTTACGAGGGACCCTGTCTGTTCCCCACATCAGGGGATGTGTCAATCCTCACGACGATTGTGTGACAATCCTCATGAGGAGCTGTCCCAGCAGGAAAGCAGGCACAGGGCCCACAGAACCAAGATATAAACCTGGAGCAGACAGAACCCTGCTCTTCCGCTCTGCCGAGGGGAAAGGTCTGGCTTGAAACCATCTTCATGTTGACCTGGGCTGCCAACGGGAGCTTTTGGCAACGCAGTAGTGACCACATCCATACTTTACACCTGTCCTAAGTCAACTTATCCCCATTGCTCTTCACTTCCCTAAGTACCTCCATAGACTTCAAAAGCCACAAAAAAAACTGTTTGGCAGTTTTTCCTGGATGCCTCTGAAACATTACCATGGAATTATTTACAGCAAGAGGTCATAAAGGACTGCAGTCCTTTCACACTGTGGCCTTCCTAAAATAAAGCAAGGCTTGCCTTGTAATGGAAGCTCTGGGTATTTATCCAAAGTTTCTTAGCTCCACTAAAGGCTTTAAATATATCCCATTAAGCCCGGAGCTACTCCAGGCTCCAGTTGTCCAACAGTAAAGTGGAAGAGAGAAATGCTCCCTAAATCCCAACAACTGTGGTAGCAGTAGCAATTCATGCTGCTATCTAAAACATGGAAGTGCCACCAAGAAGCAAGCATTCCCCTTCCCCAATTCCTTTTCTGCTCAAGTCATCTCTCCTTGGTGTTCACCAGAATGGCTCCTGATTTCGGGTGGTGCCCTTGGGTGTTTATCCTCCCCTTGATGTTATGTTTCTGCAATTATTTATAATTACTGTAAATAATTCAAATGCAATTATAGTAATAGTATGATTCCCAAGTACAATATATAAAGAGAATACATACAATAAGAGAAGTAATTAATCACTGAGGGTTCACAACAAAATCCCTTCTGGTGCTTAGGTGAAACTCTATTGTTGCACACACTTTCAATGGGAACAAGTTTAATTCCCTAAATGGTCACCAATGAATCCTCTTTTTCCCTTCGGCGCCTTCAGCTGTGAAACAACCACGTACCCTTCGGTAGCAGCAATATTCACAAACCATCTTCCCCTCAAACTGCCACTAATCTTGCTCATTTTCCTCAGACAGAGACTGCTGCAATGTGATCCGAAACACACGCAGCGCGTCTGCATTCACCTGTGTGCCAACCTTGTCGCACAGGCAGCTGAGGCTTTACTTCACAAGCACTAACATTGTCATCACACCTACAGGCTGCATCTATCTTGACTGAGTAAATGTGGCTCAAACTCCTGGAAACCCTTCCTCATCCTCCCCTTTTTATGTTCACCCAATACAGAAACCGTTTTTCACACCCTGGGCATCCTTACCAAAGCTTACAGACATATCTGTGTGTATGTATCTATGTGTGTGTATAGATACACACACACACACACATATATATATATACACACACACATACAAATTTATGCTCATAGAAGGGAGAGGAGGTACTGGCAAGAAAGCATACACCACTAGTGCCAGACTGCAAGGTCTGAGAAGAGGAAATGTTTATACTTTAGTTGAAAAAACATCTCCCACACCATGGACGTGCAGAACACAGGAGGACGGAAAAATCCTTATCCCCAAACAATGTGGCTGGCTTCCCAAACACAAGTGGGTGGCTGATGCAGAAGCTGGATTTGCAAACCCTTCAGAGAAGGCTCAGAGCCAAAGGGAAGATATTGGAGCCAGATGTGGCCTGTGGGCTGACTGCTGGAAATGGCATCTCCTCCTTAGCCTTTAATTGCTGTTAAGAAATCCCAAGTTCAGACCGAATTGCACAGAAAAGAAGGCACTTCTTGTGGGAGTAGTAGTGAGGTGGATACAAGGGCTGTTCTAAGTACGGTGTGCTGCAGTGGCAGGGCTAGACACCCTTTGGAATGGTACGTGTCCTGCTCTGCTCTGGCACAGCTCCCCTAGGAAAACAAGGCGCTCGGCATCTCCTTTTGAATAGTGGTAGAGAACGCGGCCGCGCGGCGCTTCCTGAATCTGCATTTCACCTCTTGCCTTCTCCAAGACCCGCGCAGCAAAAGCAAGGGCACCAGGGCTCTTTCTCACTCAAACTAGAGGGCAGATTTCTTTTTAGTCCATATCTCATGGAAATAGACAAAAGGACCACCCTGTTATTCTGTTCTCGCATTTCTGCACATCCTCGGAGAAGCTCAAGCATTTCTGCACAGAAACAGCATTTTACAGCTCTGCTTTGTTCTTTCTTTTTAATTCCACTGACTTTGTGTCCTTTCTTTTATCCCAAAGACTCTGAGTTTCCCTTAAGCAGGCTCAGTCAAGAAGCAGCAATGATTCCTGGGTCAACAAGACCTCTCCCAATACAGTCCACTATGTCCCAATACAGAGAAATGCCTGTTGGAAGAAAATAAAGCTGTTCTCTGAACTTTGAGAGAGAAGGCTTTATTTTTATTTTTTTCTGGCATCCAATTTGTTTTGCTGATCTCTGGAAGTTGTTCTCCACCTACTCAGTTCTGTGTGTTTTTTTAAGTACAGAGGATGCTAGGAACAAAAAGATGATATTGCCAGATGAGAGATTTCCAAAGCAATGGAATCAAGTGCTCTGCTGATTTATTTTTTTTTGTCCAGGGAAATCTACATGCCTGGATTTAGCAAGAAAATGACTTCACTCACAAAATAGTTTCAGCTCATACACTAAAAGCCATTTCATAACAGTTCAACAATGAAAACAAAAACAATGAAAATCTTAGCATTTTCCAAGGCCACAAAAACCTAAGGTAGTAAGGGACTAGTCTCCAGCTCGAGGCATATCTTTCTTCAGCTAGACCTTCACTAGATTCATGCATATGGCATGATACATCAGCAAGTTAGATACTACTAATAATATTTGAATACTCACACTCCTAATAAAAGCACTACTGTAAGATTTTTTTGCTATTTGACAGATATTTTGTTCATTCAAAACTCTCTTTAAATATGATTTTCACACTGACTAAAGCAAACTTGGCAAAACAGCGGCCCTCAGTGAGGCTTCCCAACACTGTCCCCCAGGTAACCTCGGCCCAAAATCTCCTCCCAGAGGAAGGGAAATGACATAGTTAGTAACAAGTTGCTTGGTGTAACTTCTAACTCATCCTAAGTGAGTTCACTCAGGACTGTAACACTGCCTGGTAGCTTACTACCTCTCTAAACACATGCAACTCTGCAATTGCAAACAATTATAATCCTAGGAATTAGGATTATATTCCTGGAATATAATTATATTCCTGAATTATATTCCTACGAATATAATTCAAGTATCCATAGCTGAAGAATAATAGGGTGTCAAAGAGAGGGGAAGATGATCCAGTGCTTGACCTGGTTTTTGGTTTCCTTTCTTCTTCTTTTGCTACCGCCAGCTCTCTCAAGCCCTCCTGTGGCCTTCTCCTTGTGGCTCCTCAGTTTATGAGATTATCATCAGTCTAATTAGCACTACATTCCACAGCTCACTTTTCCAGAAAGCGGAAAGCTGTGCCCCCAGGATAGCTGCTCTGTGTTGCTACTGACAGGATTAGCACTAGCCAACCTGCCCGCTGCTACAAAGGAAGGAATAATAAAGTATTAAACTGCCTTGAATTGAGAGTGAGCCACCAGTCCTTAAGTCATCTCTAAGATAGCCCCCTAAATTAAGATACCCCTTTCACTGTACCCTCACTAACCTTCCAATAGTTAACTCAGCAGAAATGCTAAATGGAACTGAGAACAGCCAGATCTAGGTTAGGTAGCGGGTGAGGATCTTGTTTCCTTCTTCTTTTGTCTTTTCCTCCGTATTCCATACGGATTGAGTGCAGTGGGGATGGAGGAAGGGGACAAGGGACAGAGTTAAGATGGTGCTGGTAAGAGGTACCAGAGAATAGGCCCAACTCCAGGAGCAGACAGGGACAAAGGCTCAGGGGAGCACAGAGGGTGCAAGCGCTGCAGAGGACAGATTACAAGGCCCTCTGGCAAGAGAGAAGAGATGAAACACTGACAAAGTGCAGAAAATAAAGAAAGGACTTGCTGCAGGGTCTTCTCTGAAGGCAAATTCAAAATATTAGAAAACATTAACCCCATTTTCTACCTCAGTCTCAAGAGGCAGGGAGAAGATATAAGAGTAACATCAAATTATCCTAAAAGCAGACAGGAGCTGAAAGAATTTTTTTCTGGCTGACAAGTCATCTTGACAGAACCAGACAGAGTCTTCCAGACCATCTATTTAATCATCTGCTCCTGTGGGAGCAGGGCAAAAGGGATGCAGACAAACTAGGCTCGCCCTTGACCATCACACCCAAACATTCCCTGTGCTGCTGTGACACTCAGAGCATGGAAGTGCTTGCCCATAATGCCAGAAGAACAGGAGGATCAAAACCCTCAGACATCTTCAGTCTTCAAGCTATCCAGTACACATCATTTCACAAATATTATTCGACAGGAGATATTAAATTAGGTCTCATGAAAAAAGGGAAAAAAGGGAAATGCATCGCTAAGTGGGCACTGATGTAGCCTGAGAGATCATTTCAGAGGAAGGCCTTTGAACCATCTTGGAGCCTTAATCACACATACCGAATGACTCAAGGAAAGGATAAGAGGAAAGAGGATTCTAGCAAGCACATTTTAGAAATAAGGTCAGAGGATGCAGGAGAAAAATGACAATTAGATCATCTGGTCTGTACCCTGTAAATAAAAAGCCCTGGTCCCAGAGAATGTTTCAGACATTGAACAGATAATATTCATCCTAGCACTAAGCCAGAAATCCATGGAGATCCTGGCCACAGCACCACACCAATCTGCAAAATTTAGTGCAAGTCAAACAAAAAGCCGTTGTTAAGACAGTTAAGACTCTAGGGACATATATTACCTTTGGGAAAAAATAAAATGTGCTCCAAAGATGAGACAAAATTGTGAGTGGAAAAAGAAAAAAAAGAAAAAAATCTCAAAGGATATAAATACCTAAGGAAGAGGAGAAGCTAAGGATTTGCTAAGAAAATGAAAAGCAGAACATAAAAGACTTTTCACCTGTACTATTGAAAAGAACAAAAAAATCTAATAGTGCAGAAAACATAAAGAGAACAGAGTTTAAAGATAGTCTTGCCATGGCTCTAAAGTTAAAATTCTCACACTAGGGAATTTATGGTGATCATGGGATCAAAAGCAGAAGAGGAAGTGGGGATGCTGGCATGGAAATAATCAAGACAGAGGTAGAAGCAGATTTTCATATGCTCCAATCAAGCTCTACTATGCTATGGAGCAAATTATTAATGAAACTGAAGATGCTGAGGATCCATTTGAAAAGCAAGAGAGTGCAAGTTGAGCAATGTCAGAGGCTGGCACTGGCACAAGAACAAAGGTGAGTAAAGAAACTGTGAATATGACTAAACTGGAAATTAGTAGGAACAAGGTTTAAAAGGAAATTAGGAGTGCTTTAACTATCAAGAACAATAAGCCTCTGGAACAACTTTTATAGAACTGGGGGAAGGGAAAGGAATTAATTTTAAGGCAGAATTTAAGGAGCTCATAGAAGAAAAGTATGAGTTTGTTTACAAAGCAAGAGGACAGCATTCAGTTACAATCTCTGTATTCCTGGAGATTTTCCCTATTGCTACAGAAACTTTGTAGAAAAGAAAAAAAAAATACCAGGACGACAACAACAGCCACTCTTAAAGACACAATCAGAACAGTGCATTTCTGCAGGAAGATAAGAAGACAGCCTATATCGGAAACTGCTCATAAACCTATCACATTGGGAGAACAGGCAATCAGTGACGTGCCTGTATGAACCAGTATTTTAAAGGACTAAGTACCCTAAGCTGGGACCAATCTTGAAGGAGTTAGCGCAGGAAGAGCAGCAATGCCGTGCTAGTGTCACATTCAACTTCAGTAATTTCTGTTGCTTTTTACAAGCCTATTGCAACTCTCTGCACAGCTGCTTGTTTCTAGAAGACACAAACCCAAACAGCTCAAGCACATCAGCAATGTGAGGCTACAGGGGCAAGAAAACAGCTTGCCCCTGTTGGCTTGCAAAGACTGGAGTTCAGGACTGCCCAGAAAGCAGGGAAGAGGCTGTGGCAAACAGAGCTGTGAGCAAAGGAAGCAGCAAGGAAGTATTTACCTGTGGGGAGACCTTTTCCTCTCAGCCTGTCCCGAATAGCCTGGCTCCTGTCGGGCTGCAGCTTTCTACCTCCGTTGCAAGAAAGTTGATCCACCTGCAAAACAGGCAGGGACACCAAGTCGAACGTTACAAGAGCTAACATCAGTGTGGAAGACAAGTTAGTACCAAATACTTCGGTACAAGTTCACACTGGAAAACCAGAAGGTTAAAAAAAAAAAAAAAGGTTTCCACTTGTTTCCACATACAATCGCTATAGTCTATGTGATAGTTTCCCTGCTCCTGCTCATTGCCCTTCCTGCTCAACTGCTAATAAACACTTACCCCCGACAGGCTTCCCAGAACAAGCCTGACCAACTGCTTCACGTATGAGAAGGAAGGAGCACAGTTGCTGTTCCTTATGTGGGCACTGCAAGCATCCAGGACGGTCCGCACGGATACCCGGGCGTAAATGACATCTTCGCACATGCCGAGGAGGATGCTGTTGAGATGATCTCCAAGTTTGATAGGCTGATAAGAAGCAAAAACGGGAGGAGGGGGAGAATCAGTGCCAACAGTGATGACAAGTACACAGAAATAAGGAAAACTCAACAGTGGAAATGTCTATTCCTTAGACTTACTGTCCACATTACACTTGAGGGCTTACATGAAAGCCAACTTCTAAGTGGTGAAATATCATTTCACCTTCTTCGTTATCACAGCCCCTTCAGAAGTGACAAACTTCTACCTGCAAAGTTACATTTTTCTCCTATTTCCTCTCTTTTCTACTTTCTATATCATCAAAAATCAACACAGAAGTAGGGATTCAAGTAGCAAAAACACCAGTCAAGGAAGCAAAGCCTTGTACCACACAGAACAGCCTCTGTGCAGTTGAAATGATCTACGTTTAAGTACTAACACTGAAGAGATGAACATTTAAAAATAAATTTACTGGAAAGCTTCCTTTTTGCATGTCTAGTGAGGACCAGTCACCTCTGTATGCACAAAAACGTAGTCACAAGAGGAAAAGTCCTCTCCTTCGAGATGCCAAGATGAACAACTGTGCGCTGGAAGATATTAGTGGAATCAAATCTTTTGGAAGTAGACCAGCCACATGACCTAGACAGAAGCTCGAACATTAAACAAATCAAAACTTACTTGGCTTTGAGGAACTTCATGGTCAGCTCCCCAAAAAAGTGTCATACCAAGAGAATAAATATGGATCTGCAACAAAACACAGGACATTTGTCAGCTCATTGAACTAACTCCACATCATTCTGCCTATATATATTCTCTGCATTTAATTCAAGTGAGTCTTCTCTTTCAGATTTTTCTCCTTTGTCATTAGAGAGCAGTAAATCCCACTGAGACAAAAAGCAGTGCATCCAATCACACCCTCATTTCTCTGCCTCTCATTTCTCTGCTTAATTTTAAGTCATCTCCAACTAAAGACAGGCACCCATGTAATCTAGCTGATCCACCTTTTGTTGAGCCTAGATTGCAAAGCTCCTTAAAATTAGCCCAAAGGGAAGGTAGAGCTCTGCAGGACTCAAACACTGATCTATGCTGGCAAGAGATTCCTTAGACTGGGCTCAAAGGGAAAGCGGGCAATGAACATTAAAAAGACAGAGGCAAAGGATGAAGAAGTCAGATATATAATCAGCCTGTTAAGATACACATACATTAAACGTTAAGTGTATAATTAACAATTAATATCAACATGAAAGATATATTAATCTTTAGCACATAAAGTCAAGGAACAGGCTCTGTCCAGGCTTAGGTCCTTTGTATCCAGCTTTTAAAGCTGCACATGAATTGAGTGTACAAAGATAGTAATGAACTCAACAAAACCTGTGAAATGAAGACAAAGTCTTATCTATAAGAAAATGCCTACAGAACTGTTAGAGGTGAAACTGAGATAAAACTCATCACTCCAGTGAAAATTTCACTGGAGACAAGAACATACATTCTAGAAGAGGGGAGGAGAAAAAGAAAAAAGACAAAAAAGAATGGATAAAGCATAACCACTTCGGTTTTTCACACCAGACTGCATGGAAGACATTATAAGGCACGATGCCACCCACACTAGCCTGTTTGCTCCATCAGCACTGTCTGAGGCTGCTGCAGCATGACATCAAGCTCCAGCCATATGAGATGATGTCACATGCAAAAACTAGGCCAAAATCATCAACACCAAACCAAAGTTGTGGTGATGACGGCCAGCAATCTAGCTGGTCTCAAACCATCTGTCACTAACTGGTGCTTTGTTACAGGACAACGCAACACACACACCCACATACTCACACCCACATCTCTCACGCTTCCACCCCTTTCTCTCTCCAGATGAGGTTGAGGAGCAGGAACTGGCACTTCTCACAATTTAGATCATTTGTTCCAAAAATTTTAGTTCATTTTTCAGTTCCCCAATACAGAAACCCACACCAAATTAATTTCAGGAGCTCTGAGTATTTACTTACTGCATTGTCAAGAAGCTTTTAATTACATTAGACTCGTTTTGTACTGCAGTTGCCTGAAGGCCATGGAATCAAACGGGCATTCACTGACTATCACTTTGTCTAGTATTTATCACTGAATACACTATTTCTTTGGGTTAGCAAAAAAAAAAGTCATAATTCAGAGAAAAATGCAACCCTGTCATTGCCTGGTGAGAGGCTGTAACAAGCAGGAATCTGTTCTGCTTTCAGCAGCTTCAAGACATGGTCTCATTCCAGAACCAGAGACAAAAAGAAAAATGTCCAAGATTGTCAACAAATGAGTTTAACAAACTACAGTGAGATCTAACAAACAAACCAACAATAAAAAGCGAGTTTAAATGAGGTAAAGCTTAATGCAGTTAGCATGTGCAAAGTAAGCCCTACGAACACTAAGTGAAGAAATCAGTTCAAATAACCTGGGTACTGTCCCACATCCTATTTAATATAAATGTCAAGGGAAACAACCAGAAAAAAAAGGATTATGAATTTGAAACAACATTCTTTTTTCCTGTGTGCAACAAACCCACAAAAACCAAGCACTGCTCAACCAAAAAAATAGGTTATTAATTTCAAACTCTAAATCTAAAGCTTCAATCTAATGCTAGAGCTAAATACCATAAGTGAAAGGGCTTCATGTAGTTGCTACCTGACTGCATCGTACTGAACGAACACCGACACAGAAGAGTGCTATCAGCCCAGAAAAACAACATGTGATCTGATCACAAATTTGCCATTTGAAAATTCGTTTTTGTAGGGCACATTTTGCATCTTAATTTTAGAGGTGACACTACAGACACTGTTAGTATCTTCGAGTTCTTTCTCCTGACAGAAGCATTGAAACAACAATGCCAACATGATAACCTCCAAGTCTAGCAGCTACATCTCACTTCAAAGGTCCTGAATCTTTCACTGATCTCGGTATTATTTTTTACCAGTTCTGTTCAAACTTGAACATTCCTTGATTGCTTAGTACTATCACAGATCACATTAGGTACCTCCTTTAATTTATGATGAATTCCTGTCAGGCTGTAGAGTAGAAGGAGATCTAAAAGCCAAAGAACTCAAGCAACAGTGTTTTGCAGTAGAGATTTATTTGATATGGTTCCAAAAAAGTCTATCTGTGCACACAGTTCGGACCAAAACAACAACAACAGCAACACAAACAAACAAAACACCAACATCCTGTATGGACAAAATATTTGACAGTCCTCATCCACGTAATCCATGCCAATACTCGTCTCCTCTGGAGAGGGAGCGCATCGCTCTTCTTGAAGCAGAACTGACAAACGTTGCCTTTGTGCTCACCTTACTACAAGGCTGGCTGCAGCTGGCTTCCTTCTCTAGCGTGTATTGATCCAGAGAAGACAAGATGATGGAGGGACAGCTCAGTTTCCTTCTTATTCCCCCATCTTGATACCTTTGACTAGGCCAAGGGGATAGTTTTCTAGGGCAAGTATTACCATTGGCAACCAAGCATAGGAAAACATTAGAGAAGTTGGTAACTCAGCGCCTATCAGTGACCTGGAGCAGATCACATACACAAACCTGACCTATGTGAACATCTACCCTTGGAAAAGGGGAGGAGGAGGAAGAGGAAGGAGTTGTAAAGAAAAGATGTTGCACACAACTGAAAATTCCATGCATGAAGTAAAACAAATGAATGATGTCTTTATGGCTAGGAGGAAACATACTTTCTATGTCGTACCTTGCTTAAATAACTGCTCTGTTTAACTCTCTAATTTTTGCCTCTGTGTGTAACTCTCAAATTGTTGATGTGATTGGAGCCTCTGAGAAAAGCAACAAAGTGCTGCTTATTCCTGGAAATCACTCAGTGCAGCTAGTGTCACTGAGTGCCCAAAGAGCTGCGACTAGAAAAGAAATCACCAGGGATAAGCAGGAGACAACTCCTCATAGGACCCTGCAACCACAGTCCCTCTTTGACTTCTCTGAACTCCCAGTCTCTGAACTCTGAAGCCTAGTAAGAGCATCCAGCCCCTTAATTGTTGAATATTAATTATTCAGACAATTAATTGTTGAAAGCAAATCAACAATTAATGACACAAAACAAAAACTTTGGGGAGATTAAAAGAACATTTTAAAGCTCCTTCGTAAAACAACTGAGAGCAAAATGCCAATAGTCTTCTGCGACACAAGAGACACGGTACCTTTTCAACGTCCGAGAGAGACGAGAGCGACTGGTTCTGCAGAACCTCTGGCGCTGTGAACGCTCGAAGGTCTTGCTGGGCAACATGTTCGTCCGTAAAGGAGACGCTGCCAGAAGGGAGTAGCAGCAGAGACCATGGAGAAATAATGAACCCCAGCGTGGTATGATCAGCTGCGACGGAAAGGAAAAAGGGGCACAAAACGGAAGAATGGATGTTACCACAACACAGAATTTCAGAGAAATGTCTTTGAGGGTTTACTTGAAAGAGGATGGACTGGAATTCTGACTGTCTTATTTGCAACTTTTGGAAAGAAACATTAGTTAGTTCACCAGAGTTAAACAGTAAAGATGAACATAAGTATGTCTTGGTTTAACTTAGAAAACAAAATTGTACTTACCTGGACTCTTATAAGAATATATAAGAATATTTGTTTAAATCATTTTTAAAGGTAAAACACATGCAATATAACTGTTTTTGACTTCTTTTCAAGTGATAGTGTCACGACTACAGTCAGCTTCACATTTATTTTTTTCTACAGTCAAACTATCTTTCCTGCCCTTTATTTAATGCATCCAGAACAAATGTAAGCATTTTCACCACATTCCTGTCTTCTTGTCAGGGATTCTTCTGTCCATTGAGTCTGCAAATGCAAACCTATGACATTATGATTTTCAGCAGATTTTTACCTCTGTGTCTGTACGTTTTAAGCCCATTCTGAGACTTCTCACCATTAACTGCTAAAAGTTATTTACTCAAAGACACAATTAATATTATTAATGGCATAGAGACGTGCTTTCCTTTTCCTCCTGTTGTGCTTCATAACCACAACAGCAATCCCAATTTTAATCCCACAGTAACACTTAGTTATTTTGGACATTTCTGTGCTTTTACTCATACCTATAAGGTAATGACAAGCCTGCTAAAATACTCATCTCTCCTATCCTCAGGTTATTTTATTTCTAAAATAGAATTGCCATCCGAAACAAACACTTTCCATAGGATGCATACCAATAAGGCTAATCCCTACAGTAAGGCTGGAGCTAATTACTGTAGAAGCAGCACTGCTGGAACAGCAATGGTCTAAGGAGGAGACAAAATCTGTGGGGAGAGAACGTACTCCTGCATTAAGGCTAGCTGATAGAGCGGCACAAAATAGAATAAGTTTTGGGGACCAAAAATTCTTTCTAAGCCTAAAGAAAAAGCTAATTCCAAAACAAAAGTCTTAGGCAGCAGCAGAAGAGGGCAAAGGATCAATCTGGAGCTAGGGTGGGATCTTCCATTCAATCCACTTTGCAAGGAGGCGGTTCCTCTATGGTTTTACTACATTATGTATCAAAAAAAAAAAAAAAAAAAAACACATGAGAAATACCTTTGAAGGAGAGGGCATCCTTTCTCCTCTCTACAGTAACCAACATCACAGTAATCATCATTTCTTGTATCAGCTCTACCACTAAGCCCATTTTCCACTCTCCTATCAGCTCAGGACGTTCCCCCAGTGCTGGCTCCCAGGTTGTTCAACTATCTGGTAATCTAGAATTTTCTCATCTCCTAGGAAATGTATTAAGTTACTGCAGTCTAGTATCAGGTGTAAAAAGAGCTACCACACAAGTCCTTCGGTTTCTTTGACTACCTTTCCTCCAAAAGCAGCTAAGGAATTGGTTTTAGACTTCAACAAGCTGTGAATCCAAAACAAAAATATTTTAAAAATTGTTTATCCAAATATGAAGAATTATATCCTCAGCTCCTAGCTTTTCAATCTCAGGCAGTTTCCCCTCCTACCAGCGTTTGCAAGAGAAATAATTTAATACACACACCGATAATTCATTTTTCTTCCATTTAAAACAAACACACACATTCTTCGGGCTGCTCCTTAACACACTGAGGATATAATGGAGAAGTCCACGCATTCAAGAATCCTTTAAAATACTCAAAGCCAAGAACACTTGGGATGGAGGCTGCTTTGTTGCACGATGACTCACATTTTTTCATGACAGTAACTTGCCATAAATCTAAAGCAAGTTGGTTAAAATATGTGCAACGGTTTTTAAGAGGCCAGTAGGTTATGTTGAAGGGGAGGGCCATGAACTTAGCACTCACAGGGCAGAATGGGTTTTCCTCTGTTCCCCTGCTTTTTATGGCTCAGTCTCGCCTCAGGGAAATGTTTCTCATTGCTCTGGCTTTCTCCTCTGCATCCCAAGGAAGTACTTGCTGGAGAAGGTATCTCTGATCTCGTGGCCTAAACCTGCCTAAGCCTTCAGGTATATATAAATGCTCAGGTTCACCATGAAAGCCAAAGCACTCTCGTCGCAGACTTTAACAGCTAAACTGCAGGATTTCAGGAGCACAAATGGTTTTTCTGTCACTATCAAACTGGGTAAAAGTTTCAGGGAATTCACTTGTTAAAAATGCAGTAGTACATTTAGATGCCAAATAGAGCAGCATAATGGCTAAAGGCCCCTTCTTTTTCTACGTGGATAAGAAAATATTACATTCTGTAGAAAGGCATTTTTAGCAAGCAAACTTGAGTTAGCCACAAACTTCCCGCAACTACAAGCTGCCTATAATCACTGGCTTGTGACTACAGCAGTCCTGTATATAAACACCAGTGATATAAACGTTTTTAAATGTTTTAAGATATTGTAATACAACCTTCAACTCAGAACTTAAGCCATGACTTCATCCCTAACTTCGCCATGTGTACCACAAAGACTTTAAATCTCTCGATGATCTGCAACATAATACACACTGAAGAGATAAACAAGAGGTCAGAATGCTATTCAGCTTTCAACAAAAATAAAAACAAGACATTTGGTGTGAGGCCTTACAAATATCAGGTTGAACGAAGTCTGGAGTATGCAAATAGCACCTACATAGCATCTAGGTTAAAATATTTCCTACCATACACTGCAATCTTCAGGAATTAATAGCTTAAGCAATGTACATTTATGATTAACTGTAAGATTAATAAAAATACTGATTTTGCCAAGCTTATTTTGTTGCCATTTTCTTAGCTTCTACTTTACTGACTTTTAACTAGTACAGTGGATCACGCTCCCTACATCATAACTTCCAGAATCCAATCTACCTTTATAAAGAATGACAATAAAGCAATTAATTCCTTAATTCCTTCCTTAAGAGATCTATCTTAAATCACAACCCTTTGCTTCTAAACTCCTACCAAGCAAAATTAAGAGAATTTTAAACACTGTCTTTCTCCTTTGTGTGCATCTGTTCCATGTGAGGGAAAAAAAGAATGAATCCAATAGTTAGGGATCAAACTAAAACAACCAACAGAAAACGCCAGATGAAATGTACGTATTATCTCTTGTTTCGTACTTCCTGAAGAATTTGCAAGAGTGGCACATTTGGTACATGGCACATACACACTCCCCTCCTTTCACCCAAAATACAGGGGAAAAATTACAGGGGAAACTCAAGATGCAAATCCCTCTTTCTGAAAGCCCAGGAATTCAGGGTATGGCTCCTGCTCAACTTTATATCCCAGAGGCTTTCAGGGGCCGCAGAGCTGCCAGCCTTCTGAGTTCACTCACCAACTATGCGAGCCCGTAACAAAACACTTGTGAGAGGACAGTTTATCCGGCAGCGCCAAGACCCGGGCAAACAGTGCGGCCTCACTGAAAAGGAGACAGTGAGCTGGCTTTCAAGGCAATAAAAAGCTAAAAGATTATTCAGCTATGTAGGGGCCTGCCATACAAATACATGCACTTTTAAAACTGCCCTTTAGATGGCTTAATGGCATATAGGTAACCAAAAAAAAAAAAAAAAAAAAAAAAAAAAAAAAAAAAGGTTAAAAGATACCCTAAGTTAAATAGCACTTCAAAATTGACCCATTTTACAATTTCGATGGTTGTTAATTCTGGATTCCCAAACCTTACCTCCAACACAAGCTCCTTCAGTTGAATCTGCTCCTACTTCTTATAGCCATTAGTAAGAGAAGTAACGTATGTTTTAGCTTCTTTAGGATGTTGTAGCTCCTTTTCTTTGCATCATAGCTGACACTGAATTAAGTAACATCTTTCCTAATACAAAGGATCCTATGGATTTTGTGTTTAGGCGGCAGCCAAATCACCTGCATGTCCCTTGACCGGCCAAGATTAGACCAGTGCAAAGGACCAGTTACTCCGTAACTCCCGTATTCCTTACGGATGCAGCGTGTCCTGCACCTCCTGCACGCGTCAGAAAGCAGCTTCGCGGAGACTCGGCATCCTCATCCCTGGGCACAAAGGGCTGGCAGGGAACACAGAGCTCTGGCCTGATATTACACCACTGGAAACCAGCAGCAGAGGGAGAAACATTCAGAGAGGTCTAAGGAATTCTTCACAGTTCTGGAATAAGAAACTGGGAGAAAGATTTGATTCCTAGCATCACCCAAATTCTTTACAAGATGCTCAGAGGTCAGCACTGCCCCGTTGAAAAGTTTTTCAACATTGATAGGTAAAGGGGAAAAACTATCTACTAACAACTGCTGCCAAGGGGTGGTTGAAAAGAAAGCTTTGTTTTCATACTTGGTTTTCCCTCTAGTTAACCAAAAGAATCCCTTAACCTCTCCCTCTGTATCCCAGCTAAGTTACCAGGATAGTTACCAGTTACCTAGTTACCAGGACACACCATTAGTTTCTATCAGACTGCTTTACATTTTGGCTTTGTTTTGCAGTAACTCAAGCTAAGCAGGTGCCATAGTACAAGTCTGGACAAGAGTTACTGGTCCCTCCCCTCCACACATGTCTTTCTTCACATCCACTTGTAGATTCTATCACTTCTCTTCACAAAAATCATTTCCCATCTACACATTTGTCCAGACACCTGACCTGTAAAATGGCTCTTTCTTTACCCAACTGCCTTTTTGTTAAGACAAGCTGATTTTGCCCTTCTGTTCCCTCTCCCTTCAAGCACATAGTTTATGTTGCAGCACAAGATCAAACTATTTTTAAAACCCAACATGCTCAGTGCAGGAATGGCCTAAGTGACATACAAAGCTTTTCCCACCTTTGTGTTTTGACGAGCTTTTTCTAGCTTAACTTACTAAATCAGAGGAATGCCTGGTTTATCCTCGTGAACAGCAAGGAGCACAGCACGGCTCCCTGCACTTAGACACTCACGTTCAAGATGCTTCACTTCAAAGACTCGTTTCATTTGACCTCAGAGAGCACCGCATGCAAGACACAGCAGGTCTGAAACAGCTGATACACCCTCAAAACAACAAAATAGTTATTGCAGATAATTAAACACATGTAAGAGAAGGGCAGGTCTGGTATCGACCTTGTCAAATCTCCACATTAACCTCAACATCACGACTCTGACTGGTGTCAGGACTGCAACTCCATGAGGACTGAACTGCTTTTCTCCTCCGTTTAACAACTTATGAAATGCTGACAAGACAGCTCTCCGAGTTGTTTTTCTGAACCAGTGATTAGCAACTGGACATTTCCAGCTTATCTTCTCATTACCTTGTAATGATGTAACAGAAATCAATCTGTAAAGAGTTCAACACTTGTGGGAGCTGTAAATGTCAACCAGCATAAAACCCCAGGTATTTATGGTGCAGCCACAGATGCAGACATCGTGGGAGCTCTGATCAACAATTAAAGCACGGCTTTCATTCGGCATTTCGTTTATTCGGTGCTTGCACAGATACCCATCTAAGATCTGTATGAAATTTTAGAGCTTGTTAAAATCAGGAAGCCATCAGAATTTTTAAGAGAAGTTTGTATAGGCCATTTTCCCCCTAGTTTTTTGGAGTTTGTCTAAATGACAAATTAATTGAAGGAAACTTTTTCATTTCATAGAGTGACAGCAAAGCTTCACCATGTCGAACAGAGGAGACTACCAAAATTACACCAGGATTGAAGAAAAAAATAGCTACTTGGGTTGGTAATTCATTTAAAGTGTAGGTCATGGCTCAAATGGTTTGGTAAAGGTCCTAATAGATGGTATTCTAAACGATAAAAATATTTATATACATTTTTAGCCTCCTAATTTCAAAGGACGTGAACCACTCACTGCTACATGTGATTCTTTAAAAATTTGCTACAGAAAACACTCAGAATTCTTTCTGCAAACTTGTATTTTTTTGCAAAATAATTTACCTGGGGACTCCAGAGCTATGCCAAGAGAAGTGTGTCCTTAAGACTGAGCACAGCTGAGCATGTAGCGACCTTTCAAAGGCTCAGAGCCAGCCGTGACATCCTCTGCCCACGAGTGGCCGGGTCCATTTCCAGAAACTTTGGGAACTTGCCCAGTGCCACCAAACTGCTCTTCCATGCAGTATGTTAGTGCTGAAATTGAACTGAGGGGGGGAAAAAAGAGAGTTCTCTGCAGTCCCCCATGTGCTACTAGTCCTCCCCAAAAAGGAACCAACTCGAGCCAGAGAAGGAGGCCCACAGGAACCGCTGCTCCTGCAGCTCTGCATCGTTATCCTCCCAGGTCAACACTCAAACTGATATTCCACAGCACCAAAAAAAGCTTCAGGGAAGCCATGTCTTTATTAAAAGACTCTCTGTCTCTCCTAATTTTGCTGGGAAAAAGTACATTGCTTTTGTCACCAGCTGTTTACAGTAAAGCTCTTGCATTTGGGTGTCTCTTAAAAGTGCATTTTACCACAGGGCTATATGCCATGTTAATTAGTAGCATGCGACTGAAAATCGTTTGCTGACCTAGCAGAAAAACAACTCAATAAAACAACTTAAAGCTGAACAAGAGATGTATTCTTCTAGTACTGATTTTATCTGCAGTTTGCCTTTTGGTCTTCACTGACAGAAAATCAGAGTTGTGTTCTGCAATCTTTCCCAGTCTCGAGATATGCTTTTAAAGTCATCATAGCCGAGACCCAAGACAAAGATCCATGTTGTGGATCACGTCTCCTGCTGAAGGGGAGCTGCTTATGTTCTCATTTTCAGCGCTTGCACGCAGCCTTCACACTCCTTATGATGAGATTTTTCTGCACCACTTAGAGCCTAAGGAACAGTGAGCTCATTTTGAGGGCAGACGTTATGTGCATGTTGTCTTACATCTAGATTTAAGTAGTTCCACTACTATGCAGTCAGACTGCCTTGTCAACGCGCAGATTTCAATATGGAGCTCAAGGTGCTGATGCTGTAACACAAAACTCTATAATCATGCAAGATACTTCTTCAGGCAATGTCCAGTTCCTGCTCCAACCAACCATTTAACCTACAGGTCTGAGGTAAGAAATAACAGCAGCTGAGTTTATCAGCACAGTGCTGCCCCAAAAGATGACAAACCCTTTAGCAGACTTGGTATGGGTGCATACAAAAGAAGGAAATTAAGAAGGAAAAGAGCAAAGGCTTAAAAATTACACAGAGGACTCTATAAAACTATTCTATATTTGAAAAGAAATGGCACAAGTGTATTTGAGGTTCCAGCAACACATGTACAAGAACATTGATATTTTGAATTTCATTGCTAAAAGGCTTCACAAACTGATCAATGCTGCATTTTAAAGCACCCATCTTTTAAATGAAGGCACACATCTAAACTAATTGAGTGTTAAAACTGCCAATATTCTGTGTCACACTAGGACTGGCAATAATTTCATATTTTTAAAAGTAAAAACACGAGTAAATTTCTTTCTGCATATTCACAGAGAAATTTTCCTCTGACACTTAGCATACTAACTCAGTTCAAATCACATTTTCTAAAGACACTCTCCAACTGATTCTGCAAATGGACATGCAATTAAAATTAATAGGAAAGTTTCCAAGAAAATTGTGCCATTTCTGGTAAAACCACGTCACAACTGTGTGCCAGCTTCCTCCCAAAGCAATGTGGTCGCTGCATGGGACTGCAGGCACACACCTGTGCTGCTTGTGCCAACACAGCATGAAGGAAGGGTTCACAGAATCCCGCAGGCTGGAGTTAAGATAAACCATCTACCCCAAAAGATAAGCCAGGAACAAATCTGTGCATGTATTTAAGTCCTACAAGGAACCATGGAGCTGACTTACTTGACATATAAACATAACCAAGTTGTTCCTGGTTCTGTTTGAGCAAGAAGCTTACCTTTTCTGAATAACTCCTGAAGGCTTTCTGCACTTTGATTCAAAATAGCCCATATTTCTTCTTCTTGTAATGGACCTCCCCGAACCTCCAGAGCCTCAGCCAGTGATACATGCATGTTACCTGGAAAATACAATAGAGCCCATTGAAGAACACCTAACAGCTACTTTCTCCTTGCAGTTAGGACATAAATAATAATAATTGATTTTCCAGACTTAGTCACAAAAACTTTCTAACATGAGCAGACAGCAGCAGAAATACAGGCTACAAAAAATCCATCGCCAGCGCAAAGGAACTTGGAGCATTCACTGTTAATGAAGAAAAGTTCTGGGGAACATAAAACACCCACAACCCACATCTATATTCTAGGCTACTAAATCAGTGTAGGCAACATGCTTTCATCCATACATTATGGGCAAGACTTGGCTTTATTTAAAAACTTGACAGACAGATTAACAGTCTCAGTTGGTTAAGTTAATAAACATGTTAACATTATTGTGACAGATACATAAGCAAGGCCAGCTGCTACGAAGCAAAGCAGGTCTCCTCCTCCTGCCACATTTTGGTATGATCTCACCAACAAATAACAAGATGCATTGCCTTCAAACAGGAAAATCAATTCTAAACCAAATCAATTGGTTATCTGTTGAGGTCAGTGTTTTCCAGTATAAAAAAAAGAACAAAACCAGTCAGCAATGCTGTATGTGTTATAATCCCAGGGAAAATAAATAAATAAACAAACAAACAGATCCAAAACTCTTTCCCCAGGTAGTTTAGGACTTGACATCTTAAAGTAAGTTCAATCCTTTCTTTCACCATACCACCATATGGTATCCAGCTGTTCAAAAACACGAAATGCAAACAATTTGGAAAACAGAAGAACATCTCCCCAGACATTCCCGCTAAATTCAAAGGTTTCATCCCCTGCCTCCTGTAAGATGCAAAAATCCCAACTTTAACCACCAGAGCATCGGTGTCAGCGAGCAGTGCGGCCCCACATGCAGTCGGGGATATTAACCCCATAATTGGGGCAGAAAGCAGGCTGACTAGCTATCCTTAGTGCCTCAGGTGTCTGCTCAGCTCCAGGTTTTCTGTGTGTTTTCACTTTCAGCAAGCCAGCCTCATATTCTCATCATATGCATCCAGAAAAAGAATACAAAAAGCTGAATTTGTCCTAATTTCAAGCCTAGAAAATGTGAGCTTTGTGAAGATGCTTGTCAAAATACTTTAAAATTACACATCATTGGTTACATTTCATCACAGACGTCTCTTAGTTTTCCTTGCTCCACATCTTTCCTAGCACCCAATTATTTGGCATATTTACTGAGCCTGATTCATTTTCTCCAGTTGTTGCTAAAAAGTTACTAAACTGATAAGGGAAAAGGTTTTAAGGACAAAATCTGAAACTCCAAAGAGAAAAATGACTATACGTTTCCAAGAGAAAAAAAAGAGGGACCACTATAGACATGCAGTCAATAGAATGGGAAGCCAAGACTAAGCCTCTTCAGATTCACTCTGCATTTCTCATAGAGCCCTCACTAGGGAATTCTGTAACTTCATAGAACTGTCTCAAATTGCAGTACCTAAGTCTAGAATCAAACTGGGTGATGTAGACAAGGAGATACAGTCTTTTTCTAAGGGCTAAAAATACACGTTCCTCAGACAGAATGTGCATGTGTTAAATATTGTAACAAAAGCAGGCTGAACATGACAGGAGAAATACAAATAAACATCTTCCTCTGACGCTCTCTGGAAAGATTGTCTAGCTTCACATCTTACCCTCTTACTCTCACATTTCAGCAGTTTCCTTAGTCTACAAGATTCCTTTATTCATAAAAATGGATCTCCATTTAACATGTATTTTCAGACGGATAAGGCTAAAAAGCGGATGAAAGAAGGGAAATGTGACGATGTCAGCAGTACAAGACTGAGAACAAAACCTGGTTCAAAGGTAGCAAAGGGAAGAGAGATAAGCAATAGTTCCCTTTGTTAAAGGGAACATTCTTTGCTTGTTCCTGTTATTAAAGGGAACATTCTTAGCTCATCGCAGTGGTCAGAGAGGCCACGCTATAGAGAGAGAGTGAACGCATCTCAAGCAAACAGACAGCACCTGAAATGGAAAGCAAAACAAAACAAAATTCTTCTTGTACAAATGGTACCCACTAGTCTGCTTCCAACTTCTAAATACACTTCTGGCAGGTCCTGTGTCTTCCACAGTGTCAAGCTGTCTGGCAAAGAAGTCCAGACGCCTAACTCAAATTCCTTTTATGTGCTCTTTCTTAGGCTCCTGTCAGGCCAGCTTCTCCCAACAACTCCTCTCCCTGTTTGCTGTTCATACAACACAGCAGGGTTTGCTGTGCTGGTATCCTGCATCCTGTCCCTTTAATGCCTTGGGACAAAGATGATCAGTCTGAAGAATACGGATATATCTTCCAAGGATGGTTTTATATTCTCTTTCCTCAAGGCAGCACTGGACTAGCACCAAAGCACGAAGTCACACAGGCAGCTCCCTGGGGAGAGAACTGGCAGGCTGCAAAGCACAGCAAAGGGACATGTCCAGGTGCAGCCCAACCAGCGAGCGCGTCCAAACTCTCGGCAGGCTGAGCTCTGCGCGAGCCGAAGGCGAACGCTGATCCGGCACCCGGAATCACACACGAGGAGCCAGGCCACAAAGCTGTGTTTAAAAGGTGACACACACACATAATGCAGGGACACCACGGATGCATTCAAGTAGTTGATGTGTGAGAAACAGATGCATGAATATTAAACTCAAGTTATTGCTCCGAGACAGAATTTACTCCCAGACATACGAGAATGCAACTTCCACAGGAAAGCAGTTGCGTCATGCGGAGGCAGCTCTTTCTTGCTCCAGGACATGAGAGTAAACTCAGGTGTAAATCATTTGTACCAACAAGCCCTGCGTGCCATTTCTCACTCTCCATGCCAGTCAGCCCTGAGCCAGCGCAGTTCCAAGAAAGAAGGCTGCTCAGGCCCAAGGCCTCTCCCCCATCCCAAACACTTCCTCCTCAGAGCCTCCTTCCCTGCTGAGGCTGCCAGCGCCTCCCTCCAAGGCAGACGGCTCATACACTCCCCGATGAGTGGGATGGGGAACTCGGAACTGGGTCTCTTGCCCGCAAAGCCGGCTCAGTCACCTCCCTCGCGCACACTGCCAGCCCAACAGCCCTACGCGAAGCGGCGTGGCACGGACACCAGGCACCTTTCCGTGGACACGGTGAGATGCAAAGCCCAGCAGGCAGGGCCTCCTGGCCCAGCACTGCCCAAACCCACTGCCCAAAAGCAGCACTTCTGCTGCTTCCTATAACTCTGCACAACCTTTTCCAAATACCTTGCTCTTTTTTTTTTTTTTTTTTTTTTAATTATTATTCCAAGTAGGCGGCACGGGAGGCTGGCTTCTCAAAGCTCTTCTTACTCTTCTTTCCTCCAGCAATTAACCTTTCTCCTTGTGAGTTTTGAATTTGAAACTAAAAGCCTCCCACATCAACTGAGCACCAGGGAAAACTTAACTGCCTTGTTTTTCCAGATTTTATTGACCACTTTCCAGCTGAAATAATAATAAGCTATTCCTGCAGTTGTGTTCACTAAGCACAACGATATGAGCAATGTGGTTAAAAGCTTCCCAAAAACTCTTTTCCCTTTCCCTGAAAGAAAAAAGACGGAACAGCTTCAGCCGAACACAGCTTTGTGTTTGGACTGTGGTTTGTCCAACGGGCTAAAACAACCTAAAATTTGGAGATAGTCTAGAAACCCATTAGCTGTACTGGACCAGTGAAGTGCCAAATGCAATTTCTCGAAAGCACCTTTTCCTTTGCAGATAAGCAGGAAGGCCTTTCCTCCTCAGTAGACGTGGTGTTTGAAAGCAGCAGCCCCCTGAAAAAGACCTCCCAGAATATTGCTCTCCAAAAAAATATCTCAAAAGGTCAGCTCTCTAGAGCCACGGTTAGCTGCCTAAACACACAACACCGGTTTTCAGGCAGCCCTCAGCCTCTGCAAACCCCTGAAAACTCAACTGCGCCTACACCTGCAGAGCTTGGAAATTCCAGCCTCTCCTCTCCTGAACAGCAGGAGTTATTATCATGCCCTGTAATTTCTGAATGCTGGTACCCATCCTTTTTATTTACATTGACCCACATCTTACATCCCGGAAGAGTATCTGGAATGCATCTGTCATTTAGTTTTATCCCCAATATTTTTGCTGAAACTGTCCTTATGCAAGGAGCCCTGGAGCAAGAGAGAAAGTTGGAGGCACAACAAGAGCCCTTATTTTCAATGTGTCCATACTTAGACGTATGCACGAAAATATGTGGCTTCCTATAGCTGCAGGTCCCATTTGCATAGACAGTCCACAAAATAAGACACTGTTCACGAATATTCAAGTCAAGCACGCAGGTACAGTAAATATCCAAGCTAATCAAGACAAACTGTGTTTATATATACTTATAAAATCCTCCCCTTAAGAATTAAGGGCAGTAGCTTAAGTTCCAATTTATTTTCTCGGGAACAAAGACAGACATTTATGTGCCATGCTTACTTTTTCCACTTCTACAGATGAAAAAAGACAGTAACAGACAAAATCCCCCCAAGGTGAACATTAAACACGTTCCAAAAGGAGTCTCCCTCTGCCGCTTTATTTTTATTATTTTTTAACAGTGTAAATGATTTCCAGGGGTTGAAAGGATCACAGTTTTCAAGCTCAAACACACACACACACTTTCTTGCTGCTTTTCATGCTATCAGCTACCTAATAACAACACTAGACAAAACAGTATAAACACCATGTTCACCTCTGTAAACAGCAAATTAAATAGCAGCAACACAGCCCCATGCTCCAGGGACAATTTCTCTAAAAATGCATCTCTTCTTCAACTGATAGCTTGCTGCTTGTTAGCTTGATAGCTCGCTTGCTGCTAAACCTCCCAAGTGAAGGAGCAGAAAATAAAAGTAGCAGTCAAAACTGGTGATAGAACAGATGAAGACTGGGGCTGCACACATCCCAAAAGCCTACTGAGCTTTCTCTCTGATCCATACAGTGATGCTCACACACTCACTGTCATGCATAAAACATAAGCATGTCCTTCCCATGCCTTAAATCAATCCCCTATTCC